GGGCAGAAGGAGAGGGAGATAGACAATCTTAAGCAGGCTCCACGTCCAGCGGGACTTTTAACTCACTGAGCCACCCAAGTGCCCCAGGATATTTTAAGTTTTAAGGGAGAAATCCAAACTCAGAAAAAGGAAGGTGGGGAATGAAGGACTGAATGCAATTTGGGGCTCACCTCAGGGTGAAGATGCCAAGTTTGAGCCTTCATCGAGGCTACTGGCCTCCGTGTCTCAGAGACTACCCCCCCCCCGCCCTGCCCCGGATCATGGGATCTGACTGTGGCTATTTGCTCGGTGACTTGATCATACACTGTGTTCCATTGACTACATGGGAGACAGTGTCCAATCTTGGACCGAGAAATTCCCTGAAATAAAGTGAGGTGGCCGCGGTGCACCATTTTAGTGTTTTTACCTGTGAAACTTACTGCCAGTGCTTCTCCAAACCAACCTGCATGCCAAATTAAGAAGCATATAAAAGAGCTTGTAACGCATCGATGCAGCCGGGCTCTGAAAATAGCAGCCCAAGCCACAAACCAGAGAACAGACCTTTGTGAACAGAGTAAAAGAAGCTGTTTGTCCTGGGTTCATCTTTTGAGCCATGGATACAATTCCCCACGATTACTGAAGTAACATCTTGAGGCAAAGATAGGAATCAATTGGGAGGAAAGTAGAATTCTTAATACATCAGCTTTTCCTTTTCCTATTAAGTTTCCAAGGCCCTAATTTGCCAGCCGGAGCCCAAGAGAGTGAACTGACATGGAGGCAGGTCATGGAGTCAATGCAAAGCATAGGCTTGACAACATTAGCAGAGGCTGGGCTCAGGATGAAGCATACCAGGAGACAAATCTCAGATGATGAATGGGTTTGCAGTGCAAGAGCCCACACTCTCCACATGTGACACCCTGACCCTGGGCACCACCTTCCCCAACATGGCTTTACCTCAGTGGTTCCAGTACACCAGTCTCAAATTAAACTGTTACTCATTTTTCAAACACCATCGAATTTCTCTCCTCAGCCAAACTACGACTACTTAGGCAGAGCAGTTGGTTTCGGAAACTTCTCCATCAGACCTGAAGCTAAACCACACAACTTCCTGAGCAGCTTCACACGTGGAGCTACCTTCCCAGACAACGCAGCACTTTTCTTGCACCAAGAATATCAAGAGGTCAGACCTGAAAATACAAAGTACAAACTGGTGGTTGCCAGAGGGGAAGGACAAAATGGGTGAAGGGGACTGGGAGCTACAGGCTTCCAGCGATGGAATGAAGAAGTCACAAGGATGAGAGGCCCCACGCTGGGGGGTACAGTGCGTGGGACCAGAATAGTGTGTGGTGACCAGCGTAGCTCCGCATGCAGGGAACACAGCGTAACGCAGAGCTGTTGAATCACTACGTTGTACAACTGGAACTAACGTAACGTTGTGTGTTGACTCTAAAAAAAAAAAAAGATAAAAAACAAAACCAAAAACGAATACCAAGAGATACGGTTGGGAGTCAGATGCATAGCCCAGACAGTGTTTCTGAGCGGCGCCAAAGTCCTCCTCTCGTCTATCTTAATGGTCCTCTGACCATTATCAGCGATTCCAAGGCTAGAAAATTATGCCAAGTCCCTTACGGAGTTTAAGGTAGCTTGACAGATTAAAAAGTCAAAGAGCAAGGGAAGAGAGCGTAGCAGATGACAGAGAAGATCAAGGAGAGCAGCAGGAAGCAAGAGGCTCATTTCTTACACTTAAAGCCTAAAGCTCCAGCCAGGTGGCCCGAAGATGGAGTAAAGTCTCTTCCTGTTACTTTGAAATGCCTCAGAGATGCCAAAGGAAGGTCTCTAGTGGATCATTTAATAGATCTGTTCTTCCTTCCGAAAGACACATGAAATACCATTCCAGCGACTCAATCTTTTAGTCTTAGGCAGATTCCGTATAATGAAAGAGATGGGGAGCTCCCTCCCTCCCATCCTTTACAACTCACTAATGAAGCTAAGCAAGGTGGATGTTAGTGCAAGGGTGGAAAGGTGGTGTGTGTGGGGGGGTGTTGGACCCAGGGCAGGGTGAGGAGGTGTCTGTGCGAGGCAGGGAGCTGTGGCGATAGTAACTTGGAGTGGGGTGTCAGGGCCTGAGAGGTGAGGCGGCCCTCCATGTGTGAGTCGTGGCAAAAGGAGGAATGTCATATATGAGGGCACTGGCCCAATGTATTGAGGGTCACGGGAGTTTGGGATTGTTGGAAGAAGAATCTACAAGTACAGAGAAGAGTAACAACTAGAAGAAATCTTGTGGTGTGATGCATTGAAGGCATTAATCTGAACGGAGGGTTTTCAGTATGTTTAAGTATAGAAATACAGATGCAAGTATGCGTGCATGTACATACGTGCAAATATCCCTGAGCTCTGCCCACTGAGGGGGGTTGGGAACAGCAACACCCCAAAAGCAATGAGCACACTTAGCTTGGTTTCTAAACACCTTTCTGCATTAAAAAAACCCAGAACTCCTTGGGGGAAATTCAGACTGGGGCAGAGAAATGGGAGCCTGGAACTTGTGCTTGAAGTGCCTAAAGAACATCGGGCAGTCACAAGGTCACAGATGCTCTGAAGGGGCCCCCACTGGCCAAATCTGGGGTAACATGAGTACCAAAAGAATGATAGTATATAAAATGATCATTTAATAAGACAGAAATCTGAGTCCATATTAAGGAACAGAAAAAAGAAAGCTTTCATAGTAGCAACTTGGAATAAAATCTGGCATGCCTGAGGTTGCTGGGGGAGAGAGGATGTCTGTTTTCCTTCGTCTTCCTTTGGCTGCCTACACGCACTTTAATCCCTTCTGCATAGACTCTGTCCCCTCCCCTGACCTAAGCCAGAGACACTGATGTGCAGCAGGTTTCTTTAGTCAATTATGACCTTCCCACCAATAGGGAAAACTGTATCCACAGAATCGGTTGTGGGAGATGATTTGGCCATAAGGGTGTGGCTATTAACATGGTGACAGAAGCCAAGAGGATTCTTTGAGACATCAAGATCCTCTACAACACCTCCATTGAGGAGACACCCTCGATGTTGCTAACCTCATCTCCAGGGCTGTCCTGCTACCTAGCCCTACCCTGGGTTCAGTCTGGGGGCGGGCTGAAGAGGAGCAGGGGCGGGGAGGGAAGGGAGCCAAGGGATGGACATCTTGTCATTTTTTTTTCCTTTGAATAAATGTCACTTTTTGAGGCAAAAAAAAAAAAAAATGAAAAAAATGAAAAAAAAAAAAGCTTTCCTTAAAAAATGCCAACCAATAAATGTAGAAAGAATGGCAGGATTAGGAGACATTCACAGGCTACCATCATAGTAGCAATTCAGCCAAGAAACTGCAACACAGATGCCAAACTAGTTTGATGAGGAATGGGTTATTTACCCGATTTCAAAGCACAACCCCACAAGATGCTTATTAGTAACTTTTCAGTGGAGAAACCCAGCAGATACCACCTCCATTAAGTCATCAAGGTTAACATCACCACTAACAGGGTGATTCAAAATCACGTTATCCCGATAGGATGAGATGGGAAGAGCACAGCATTACTTGATATTCCTGCCAGAAATGTGTAACCTGGAATCCAACCGTGAGTAAGCATCAACAAACCCAAATTGAGGGACAGTCTGCAAAACAGCCGTAATCTTCAAATGTTAAGGTCATTAAAACAAACCTGGATTGTTCCAGACTACAGGAGATGGAGACAGGACTATTAAGTGCAACTTTTTTCTGCTGATAGAAGATATTATTGGGGTCACTGGGAAAATTTAGTTATCTGTGGATGGTAGTGTTTTCAGGTTAATTTTTTTTTTTTTTTAAAGATTTTATTTATTTATTTGACAGAGAGAGAGAGACACAGCGAGAGATGGAACACAAGCAGGGGGAGTGGGAGAGGGAGAAGCAGGCTTCCCGCTGAGCAGGGAGCCCGATGTGGGGCTCGATCCCAGGACCCTGGGATCATGACCTGAGCTGAAGGCAGACGCTTAACGACTGAGCCACCCAGGCGCCCCCAGGTTAATTTTTAGTTCTGATGGATTTGGTGATATAGAACAGCTTCAGTTATAGGAATTATGCATTTGCAGGAGTGTTGGGACATCACCTTGCAACCTATTCTTAAAAAGTATTCAGAAAAAAATGGACTATTCTTGCAATATTCTTGGTAATTGGTACTTTCCTTTAAATTTGAAATTATTAGGGGCACCTGGGCAGCTCAGTCAGTTAAGCATCTGACTCTTGATTTCGACTCGGGTCATGATCTCAGGGTTCTAAGATCCAGCCCCACGTGGGGCTCTGAGCTCAGCAGGGAGTCTGCTTGAGATTCTCTCTCCCTGCCCCTCCCCTAGCCCCCTCACCCCTGTTCTCTCTCTCAATTCTTAAAGTCCTCTCAATTTCTTTTGTGTCAAACATTTAAGGGTACAATAAAAAAAGAAAATGAAACAATTTTGCTAAAAAGTCAAGATCCTTTTAATGTTTTAGAAAGAGGTTACTTAGAGGGGAAACAGTGCTTAAAATTCCACAGAACTGAGGTTAAGTGGAGACCATGACCAAATAAATACACAACAAGGACTCGTTCTGATGCTCCTTAAAGCAGTGTTTTTGAATCAGGTAAACATCCAAAGAAAAGAAAGGTGATTCTTCTTGATGTGCTTCTTGCTGAACAAAATTTGTATTCACCTTTGTATGTATCAACTGCCTAGCCTAGGTATTTGAACTCTGAAATAATTTAATGCAACTCAAATGACACTTTAACATTGATTGATTGAAACTTGATTTCTTACATTCATATATAATAAATTCTTGATGCCTTTAAATTCATGATTCCCATGACCATTTCAGTTATGATAAATTACAAAATGAGAAGAAAGATTCTTTGAGATCTCAAAGTAAGAAAGAAACCAGAGGATGGGGTGCCTAGGTGGTTCAGTTGGTTAAGCGTCCAACTCTTGAACTCAGCTGAGGTCTTAATCTCAGGGTCATTGAGTTCAAGCCTGGCACTGGGCTCCATGCTGGGCATGGAGCCTACTTAAAAAAAAGAAAAACAAAACAAAACAAAACAAAAAACAAAACAAACTTGAGGAAAGTATATATTAAAGGCCTTCACAAATATGAAGGACAATTATTAAAATCTTGATAAAAAGCAATCTGTCCTAGGTTCAAGGTTCAAGTCTGAATCCTTGAACTTTCCAAGATCAAGACACCATTTGCATATGCTCTTTTTTAAAAAACTCCAATGAACTCCTATCCCATCAGGAGCAGGTGCCTCTCAGCCAGCACCAGACAGAGGAGGCTTGCGATATTTGCACTGAATCCAAACCCGGTACATTGTCAGCTGTTTCCCCCGGTTCACTTGCAATCGGCGATCCACCAGGTTTTGAACCTTTTCCAGTCCAGCAGTAGTGAAAAGCGTATCCATCTCCTCTGGTTTGGAAAAGAGATGCTTATATATTTTCCACTGAAGAAAAAACATTATCTACCACTTCCTATGTTTAATGGGGCTCCGTGAGACTGTTTTTATTTATATATTTTAAATGGCCTGAGCCGCGCTGTTTATTTATAACTGCAGTAGCAGTTTGGTAACAGCAAGTTCACATTTAAATGGGGGAAGCCGAACTGTCTGGGAAGGGCAGCTTGGTATCCCGAGGGAGAGCGAAAGAGTTGGCTGACGGGGAGGAATTTTCAAGAAGGGCTTTACGGACACCTTAAGATTACATGCAAAAATCTACATAAATGTAATGTCAAAGCCACTTTTTTAGGGGAGAGATTCCTCCACTTTCACCAGAGGCTCAAAAAAGTATGTGACAGAATAAAGGGCCCGGGAATGGCAGTGGGCACATGGGCAGGGCCGGCTGCAGAGGAGAGCCGTTCTGGGTTACAGCTGGAGCCAGGGAGCACGGGCCTGGCTCCGGGGCCCCTACGGGGTGACCCAGCCTGCAGGGTGACACCAGTCGCACTGAACCCCCGCAAAATGGGGCAGGTCTCCTGTTTTGGACAAAGGGATCGGGAGGAAGAGTAGACCGCAGGAGGGCCATGCAGAGGGCTAAAGGCTCCTGTTAAGTGGAACCTGTTTGCAGAACAGCGAACGGGTTCCGGGCAGCCGAGCTCAGGGTGGCGAAGGCCGCCACGGGTGGGAGGGCCCAACAGTCTTACTTCTGAGAGTACACGGAGCAACGTCTGAGCTGGTGTTTGGGGGACTACTGGCGTACGCAAAGATGAACGTTTTCATACCTTGTGTGAAGAAGTAAACTCTAGTACCGTCACCTCTCACGTAGAAATTTTCAGACAGACACTGACCTGTAGAGCGATGCGATAAAATCAGAGAAACTTTAAAGCACTTCTTTGAATTTCACTGCCAATCAAATGTGCATCGTGATACCGATTTCTTGGGCAGAGAACAGAAGCCTTTCTTGGTTACTCTGGGCACCTTGCAGGAATCAGCAATTTCGCTGCTATGAAGGAACGGTGCTTTGGAACGAGCAGCGCCGGGGGCGCCATCAACCGCAGTGTTCAATCACACGGGCGATCCTCAGCCTTCTGTTCTAGAGCTGTTTCCTGTTGCAAACAGTGTTTCCCTCCTCCCTCATTCAATAAATATCACATACTCTTTGTAAAACAAAAATAAATAAACAAAAGCCAGGGACGGTAGCTACGCTGAAGGGAGGGAAACCTGAGCCACTGGGACCGTTTCCCACGTCTCGCCACGTGTCCACACACACTCATAAATACAACCCGCGTGCTGTTTTTATCATGCATGCTCTCCCCTCAGCTGCCAAGCCCTCTGACCTAATGTCAATTTATCAACCTGGTAGGTGATCCTGCACCTTTGGAATGTCAATATAATCTTATTACTTGCTTTACTTTGCTTATTTCTCCCCAGCCACTCCTGTATATGCGATCAAGTTTAAAACAGTCACCTGCACACTGCTTTTCTCATCTGGGAACACAGAACGGAAACCCCGCCAGGACTGCCGGTGTGGGGCCCACCTCATGTGGCAGGCACAATGCTCCCCTCCCCAGAGGCATTCACTTTGTTTCGAAGCTTTTGCCTACACACATATTACATGCTAGTTCTTGAGTAATTCCCCAAAGGACTGTTAGACTGAGTAGATAACACCACTGTGCTTAAAAAAAAAAAAAAAACCCAAAACCCAAACACCATTAACAAGTTGTTATTTCTACCAGTAATGGAGAAATGTATCTCCTTCTTTGAAATGGCCAGCAGTAGGTTTAAGAAGTAGTTCTCTCACTATAGTTTTGTTATCTTGAAGTTTGTTTTTGGCCATTTGGATTTGCCCTTCTGTGAATCAGCTCTAAAGTTTTCCTTCCCTGTTTTTTGGGTGGGTTGCTGATCTCCTTATCAATTTGCCAACAGGCCCTTGAAGAGCAAATAATTGAGTCTTTATCTGTTCTAGGCACTGAAATTATTTGTCTTTCAATTTTTTAATGGCATCTTTTGCCATGCCACATTTAAAATTCCTTATGTAATCAAATCTTTTCCCCAGGGTAGCTATTCTAAAAGTAGCTGTTTTGGTTAAAAGATCTCCCAAATACCTAGATTATACAAATCTTCAAAAATATACTGCTCTTGTCATGTATTAAATAACTTTATATATGGAGCTATAATTCTAGAGTTTCTATTTGATTTCACTGACTTCTAGGTCTATTCTGACGGCAAAACTGTTGCTTTGGTAATAGTAGCAAAATACCTTTTTTAAACCGAAGCTGAGCCATGTCGTAGCGGCCATAATCTCGCAGAAGCATCATCCCTCCGGGCTTTAGAAGCCTGCTCAGCCTGTTGATAGCCTTCTGCATCCTGCGGGGCAACACAGAATGAAGACCAGGTCTCCGTAAGGACAGGATTCCTTTTCCTTATAGCACGCCTGGAAAAGCCAGTGGACTTCCTAACCTTGACGCACGAACGCTGACATCTCAGCTCCTCTGCTCTTGCTTCAGTGAGAATGGGAGCACACACCCAAGCTTCTCAGGTGCTTCTGCTGTCTGCTCATGACCGTGTCTTTGACCCACTCCCTTCACCAGGAAGAGGCCTGAGGATACTCCGCTTCTGCCGGAGGGCTCCACTTAAATACTCTGCGTCTGGCTTACTTCCTACTCCTCCTGGGATGGCCTCTTGGGAAAGCCACCCCTGTCCTGTGCTTCTGGGGCTCTCGGAACACAGCCCTGAAAACCTGCAGTGAGGACTACTAGTTAGCTGACTCATCCGCCTGCCCCCAGGCCTGAGAGCTCTGAAGGCAGAGACTGTACCTTTCCATTTGTTAAATGGAGATGAAACCTTAAGCACTTACAGTTTACATGGTGAGTCAGAATGCAAATGGGTGCCCCAGGCAGAGCGCTTTACCTTCTGACTGCACTTCCCACAGGCAGGCTTAGTGCTGGTTTCGCCTATGCTAACCTTGGAAGTATCAATGCTACAAAGTCTACTTGAATACTGAATAAATAGTTTTTAATTTTAGTGTTTATTTCAGTCCACGTCAGTTTTTAAGTTTGTAGCATTTAAACTTCCACTGTTATTTTATCTATCAATCAAACCCTACCCCCAACGCGGTGCTTGAACTCACGACCCTGAGATCAAGAGTCACATGGTCTACTGACTGAGCCAACCAGGTGCCCCGAGACTTCTGCAGTTATGAATGTTTAAACCATGCCTGGCTTTTTGGGCTGTCTTGCACCTGCCTTTCTGCACGCTCACAATATCCCTGTCAGGTCAGATGACTCAGTGCTCTTCTCAAGGAAACATGGGACAGAGACAATTGCTTGCTCCTCTGGGTCTCTGGAGGACGCTGCTTCCTGAGGACAGTATCTCATCCGGACAGCTGGCTGCCCACGTCTAAGAACCTTACCAGTATCTCGCAAGGTTCGGCACCTAAACTGGATTTTATGGAATTTTATGGAATTCCCCTGTACTGCAGTTTTCCAAAGAACTTAAACATAAAGGAACACCCGAGTTAAGCTTCACTATAAATTCTGTGTTGTTAGTAAGCCTGGTTTACCAAAAGCATTTAAAAAGCCCAATGAGGGGTGCCTGGCTGGCTCAGCTGGTAGAGTGTGTGGCTCTTGATCTCAGGGTTGTGGGTTTGAGCCCTACGTTGGGCATACAGATTACTTAAAAATAACATCTTAGAAGTTTATTTATTTTTTTAAAGATTTTATTTATTTGAGGAAGAGTGTGAGCGAGAGAGCACAAGCAGGGTTGGGGCGGGGGAGGGGGTAGGCAGAGGGAGAAGCAGACTCCCCACTGAGCAGGAAGCCTGATGTGGGGCTCGATCCCAGGACCCCGGGATCATGACCTGAGCTGAAGGCAGTTGCTTAACCGACTGAGCCACCCAGGTGTCCCTTAAAAATAACATCTTAAAGTAAACTAAAAAGCCCAATGAGGGGGTGGGTACTAACAGCTGGGGCTCTAAAACAGCGGGCTGTGATTATCAGCAGGGGTCCCCCCACACCCAGTAACACTGCTCTCCCATCCCCTGTGGATGCTCAACCATGGCACTGAAAAGAACCAACCTCTGGGGCGCCTGGGTGGCTCAGTCGTTTAGTGTCTGCCTTCGGCTCAGGTCATGATCCCAGGGTCCTGGGATCGAGCCCCACATCGGGCTCCCCGCCCCCCGGGAAGCCTGCTTCTCCCTCTCCCACTCCCCCTGCTTGTGTTCCCTCTCTCGCTGTGTCTCTCTCTGTCAAATAAGTAAATAAAATCTTTAAAAAAAAGAAGAAGAACCAACCGCTGCAGCCAACAGGCAGAGGTTTAGAGGCAAACAGGTTTATTAGGAAAAGGGTTGAGACACTTGTATCACTTTGACAGAATGGCTTTTCCCGGCCTATCAGATCATCCTGCTTACTTAGGGTCCAACCCTGGTATCAAGGTTCCTGACCCAAGCTTTGTTCTGTGACACTACTGGCTAGGGGACCTAAAACTTACTTGTCTGGAACAACGGCCGAAAGAACAAATATGAGGATGATGATGTCGAGGCTCTCCCCGGGCACTGGGTAACTCGTATCTTCATCACACAGATCATGGACAAAGGCAAAGCACCGACAAGGATCGTATGCTGAATTTGTCTGCCGACAGTTGAGAGACGCATAGGTTAGAAAATGTTCACACAGCCTGGAGGAAAGCTAATCTTGCTTGAAGTGTAACCGCTGCTCCTGCTGCTGAGGGCTATCGCTCTAATCAGGACGCACGCCTTCTTACTCAAAGCCTGAGAACGTCCAACAATTCCAGGGACGAGCCTGCGGAATCCAACTGGTATTTTTACTTATTTATTTTTTAACCTTTCTTTTTTTTTTTAAAGATTTTATTCATTTATTTGAGAGAGAAAGAGAGCGCACAAGAGAGAGAGAGCACGAGCAGGGAAGAGGGGCAGAGGGAGAAGGAGAAGCAGACTCCCTGCTGAGCAGGGAGCCTGCTGTGGAGCTCAAGCCCGGGACCCTGCGATTGTGACCTGAGCCGAAGGCAGACGCTTAACCCACTGAGTCACCCAGGCGCCCCCAACTGGTACTTTTAAAACGGAATGTTTTGAAGGTGCCTGGCTGGCTCAGTCAGTAGAGCACGTGACTCTTGATCTCAGAGTCATGCGTTCAAGTCCCATGTTGAGGGTAAAACTTACTTAAATTAAAAAAAAAAAATTAAAAAGTTTTTTTTTTTTAAATAAAATGAATGTGGGGGGGGCGCGTGGGTGGCTCAGTTAGTGAAACATCTGACTCTTGATTTCAGCTCAGGTCATTATCTCAGGATTGTGAGATCGAGCCCCGCGTTGGGCTCCATGCCGGGCAGGGTGCCTGTTTAGGATTCTCTCTTCCTCTGCCCCCCGTGCCCCCCACAGCCCCCTCTCACACTCGCACTCGCCCTCTCTTAAAAAAAAAAAGGAATGTTCTTGATTCTTCTACTTTTATTCTTCACTCTGATGCATAAAGTTAGATTTGAGGTCTGGAAAGTGATCAGGAAGGTAAATGACCACAAGTAAAAAGAAAAATCTCATCAGGAGAGAGAGAAAACATACTGACATTTAAAATCATGATTTAAAACAACTCCTAAACCAAGTATAGCATATTACACCAATCACAGAATTCTCCAGCAAAACATATTAGATGTGGAAAATTTAACTTTATATTTTATTGTCATAAAATTAACCAAAGAAAAGAATAAATTAACTAAAGATAAGCTCAATATTCACCTGGTCTACATCCATAAAAGTAACTCACTCCAGAAAGACACAAACCACCAATTCCAGACCTCCTGTGCTAGCAGCATTAGACATGACTGTAACCGACACATTTTAGGGTAATTTCTCTTTCTGTATCTCTCTTCTCCAAAAATGTGACTTTGTTCCTCATTGGCCACAGCTAATTCAAACAGGGCAAGTAGATTATTAGCTGGGCCGGGTCAACCAGACTCTTTCTGGGGACTTTGGAATCAGGACAAGTCATTCTGGTGAGGTTCTGAGAACACCTGAACAGGGTGGACATGTAAGGGGGCAAGCACGTTGGCATCATGTGACAAACCCATTACAGAAAGCTGGTCTGTAAAGAGGAAAACAAAGGGCAAACGGCTCTGGGCTATGCGAGATAGGAAACCATGAGCTTGAGGGAGGTTCTGTGACAGGAAGAGGAAGGAGTGGAAACAGCTCACCAGGAGCCAACTGGCCTTGGCATCTGCCACCTTTTCGGGGCTGAGTGCCTTGGCTACACTTTATGCCCTTGGGTTCTATGACCTTCTTTCACTGAATGAGTTTGTCTGGGTGTGTCTGTGACTTGTAACTCAAAGAACCCTGACTAGAAACAATCTTCTCATTTTAATCCTTAAAACCTATGTTTGGAGATGTCAGGAGACCGGCCCAAAGTTCCACAACTGGCCAGTGACAGGTTCCCCATTCATGCTCAGTTCTTTCCTCTACTTGGGCTGTTCCAGCAAGTCTTTTACTTTCAGACCACATAAGAGTAACAGAAATTTGCTAGAGACCTTGATTTTTAGGGGACCCTTTCCCCTTTAATCAGTGAAAATTACAGATAGGACCCAATGCACTTACCTGGACCAGTTCTACAGCTGTGGTAGAAAAATCACAACAGTAAACAAAGAGTCCCGGATCACTGAAATGGGCAGAAAAAAGAGTAGAACAATTAAGACTGTAAACTGAATTATATCTGTTCTCCTTCCTGTGTAGCAAACTTAAAATATCAAAGGTCCCATATATTGGCAGTGGAACAGGTTTTGAAGCTCACCAATTTTCCCGATGATAAAGATGACAAAGAAATCGACATCTTGTCACCCACGGTTCCCAATAACCATTATTACCGGTCTGCTGAAGTTTTGAGAAACAACACACCCCTTTCTCCTCTTTGCTATCCTATAGTTAAACTTTACAACACACTTACTTGTTAGTTTGTAAAATCGGAAAGACTGTGTTTCCCACACCACAACCAACCTGCGGACAGAAATGAACTTTTAGTTACAGGACTTTCAAGGAATTGATTCCCTAGGGCTAAATAAATAATCAACAATAATCTTGCTTAATTGTGTTAGTAGGGAAGGTGCAGTGACCAGAGCTAAATAGTAGCCACGACATTCCCCAACCTTGACCTCAGGAAGTCTAAAAGAGGTAGCCGTAACAGACAAGAGCATGGGCTCTCGACAGCAGAAGGGAGCTGGTGTGGAAAAAAGGGCATGGATTGCTTTTACTTTTTGAGTTTTAGCAAATGGTCCTATAGACGATATATTTTTTTCTCATTAATACAGTACTTATTTGTCTTCCCTCTGTCAAACCCTGAGCCAACCACTTTCCCTAGGCTGCCTGAGGAGGTATAGGAAAAGGAACATACAGGGCAGAAGAGACATGGGAGAAAGACCTATGGGAGGTGGAGACAGTTCCTGCCCATGACAAAGAGGATGAGAAAGGCCACCATCAGCCAAAAGAGCCCCATGGCCTCTGAGAGAGCAAAGCCCAGAATGGCGTAGAAGAGTTGTTGCTTCAGAGAGGGGGGATTCCTGGCATGACCAGTGATGAGGCTCCCACAGTTCCAATTCCAGCCCCAAAGTCAGCCACCCCGGCCGCGGCAGCCCCAGCCCCAATGAACTTGGCTGTGTCGATGTCCCTTGAAATGGGACTGGTTCGGAAGCTGCAGCTAGTAATAAGTGAGGTGAGGGGATGTGGGGCTGCCAAGCTGCTGAGGCTCCCATCTGTCATGTCTCCGGTGGTTTTAGAACCGCTGCAGTGATTGGCTCAACAGCTGAGAGGTGCTCCTGACCAAGAAGGGGGTGGAGACGAACTCTGCACAGGTGTACATTTTCAGGGTATGAGGCGCTGTAGCAGGAGAGCTGCTCCCGTGCAGAGAAGACAGAGAGGGCAGATGAAATATTCTCTTACTGAACTGCACTGTATCATTATTGGAAACCTGTTTCTCAGATTAAGCAGAAAAATTCATGGAAAGGGGACCATGGATTACACTGTCCTAAACATGCTGCTGGGTGTGCTAATAACAGTGACCCTTTGGGGCTGGGTGTCTGACTCTTGGTTTCGGCTCAGGTCATGATCTCAGGGTCAAGGGATCAAGCTCTGCGTCAGGCTCTGTGCTCAGTGCAGAGTTTGCTAGAGATTACCTCCCTTTCCCTATCCCTCTGCTCCTCCCCCTGCTCTCACACACGTGCTCCCCCTAAAATAAGATAAATGAAATCCTTAAAAACAAAAGAAAAAAAAAAAACCCCAAACCCAAAAAAGACAGTGACCATTTACTAAGGGCTTACTACATGCCAGGCACTGTTTTTAGCCATTTTACATCATTATCTCAATATATGTCATTCTCATAACTACCATGAGGCAGACAGAGAGGCGGAAGTCCCCTTCTGCTTGGGGAGGGGAAAGGACTAGTAACAAGGTCAGGCTGGAGTACTCAACCGCAAGGCTAATCAGCTTCCAGCGGAGCGTAGTCACCACCTCTAAATCTGCCATATGGTACCCACCTAGACACGTTTCCAGGGGTAGTCTTGCCTCCACAACACGGCCCAAACTAGGAAGACAAGAACTCTCCCATGCCTGAGAAGCAGGCACCATCGCGACTAACACCCCCCCCAATCTTATGTTACAAGAGAAGTCAAAGAATTTGTCTTGTGACTTGGGACTCTTCCAGGCAGCAGGTACAGCAGATGCTACAATGTGCAGATGCGATAGGATGTCCCCAGGTAGCACCCTCAGGTGATCTTTCTTTGCCACAACCACCAGATTATCTGGTCTGAATTTAGGACATGTCATTAGTTCAAAAATGGAGGTGTTTCTAGGCCAACACAAAGAGTCAAGTCTAGTCAGCTTCTTCAGACAGAATCACTTCTGTGGTCAGCCTCTCGGTGCCACCCATGTGTATAATAAAACAGCCCCGTTAACCCCACTCTCAGGACAACAGAGGGGGGTTACCTCGAGTATTCTGTAGGTGGCTGAGGATCCAGGGAACTCATCAGCACAGATTTCCAGGCGGTTGAGTTTCCGAGTTACATCTCCTTCTACAGGAGGCACCTGTGTTTTATGTCCAAGGCTATCTGAAGAATACGTGTGCGGTTCTTCTATCTTTAAACCAGGTCCGTCCTCCTTGCGCCTACCTTCAGGGACTTCACTCCTCTTGTTCTCTGAGAGCCAATCATTAAAGTCATTTTGGTCCGGGCTAGGTGCCAACTCTGGGAATTCAGTGAAAAGCCAATGTCTATCCTTGAAAAACCTGTTTTCGTGGATTTTGTAGAACTCATTCCAGTATTTGTGGGCATTGACTTCATAATCAACTGTAAATATTAAAGAATTAAAAAAATTCTCAATCTCTCAATATTTTATGTGTCCCTAATGTCAAATGTCATCCTGCTTCACCAAATGTCACTTTATACTAAAAGTATCTTCAAGTAGAGCTATAATCTCAGAGCTGGAAATCTGGCAGTCCTACCACCTACCCTACCTGAATTCCCCTTTGTGTCTTGTCCTTCTAGGGAGGAACTCCGACCAGGGAACTTACTGGTTCCACCCACATCTTCAGGTGGCTCTTAGCTATTAGAAAATTCTAACATTAAGGGAAAAAAAAATTCTAACATTAAGCAAAAAAATCTGTCTTCTGGTCAACAAGTCTTACCATTTCTTAGGGCCATACAGAACAATTCTTTTGTATTTAAGGGCAGTTATTTTCCCCTCTAAATCTTCTCTTTTACAGGTGAAATGTCCCAGGTTCTTCAGTCATTCCCTATGTGAACTCTATGGTTAATGACACATGCAGCTCTTCTTTAAATATACTCCTCTGTGGTTCTTTACTGAATGTGGAGCAAAGAAAGAATTCAATACTACTAAAAGATCCTAAAAACGGGACAAAGGGGGAAAAGGAGAAATGCTGATAAGAGGGAAAAATGTCTTCAGATGAGAAGAGTTTTGATGAGAGAGGACAGGAGAGACTTAAGAAGGGTAGATTGTTTCCACTACAGTTTAAGGTGATCAAGGCAGTGGGCAGTACTAGACTACAGTTTTCTGCTCTTTGCCGATACAGGACCTCGACTAGTGTAGTAGAAAAGAAAAGAAAAATCTAAGAAATTGGATTTTAGTTCCACCATTCCTACTACTAACTAACTGCTTACCTCTGGGTAAGGCACTTAATGTCCTGTGGTCCAAGTTTCTTTAACTGTCAAAAGAGGATATTGGACTATATGATTTTCAAAATCCCTTTCAACTCTAACTTGCTTTGATCTAGTCTCTGTCAAACTATGTAAGGTGAATACTTTGTAACTGGAATCTTCTTATTGTTATAGTGAACTGTGGGATACTACTCTCCCAATTTCTAGTCCTACTTTCAATTGTCATCTAGCACACAGGCCTCAGCTAGTCCTAGTATTAGTATCTAGAGATATTTTGCAGTAAAATCATCCACCTCTCCAGAAGAGGTCTCTTTTTCTTTGGCCAGACTTACCTACGATCCTCTTCACCCACCTTTCCTTGGCAGAAGCCCTAAAATCCTCATAGCCATCACACAAGGAAAAGACACAAAATTCACCAGTCATTGGCTACCCCCCCAACAATATTTAGAATCTGATCGCTAGAATCTAGCTTCAATGACAACATTTCCTCATCTAGGGTAATCATATAGACGAGGCACAACATCCAAGACGATCACGTGACCAAACGGTTACCATAGGCCAGTCGTATTAATATGGCTCTAGTCGACGTCCTAAAAATTAATCGCTAGCAAATATATCAAGATACTGTTATTCCCTCTCAAATAAAGCCAAAACCCAAACTCCCTCTTCGCCCTAACAAGATTTTAGGGTGAAACCCTTTTCCATCCTAACCCAGCCCCTCCCCTCCCGTTCTACCCCCGAATTCGGCATCAGTCCAGTAACAAAGGCTCTTGGGGGTCTAGGTTCTCCGGCCTCTCCGGGAGAGCGCGTCTAGTAGTACGCTGGCTGCTGACACCACTGAGGGGCCACCTAGGCGCACCTTGCTTCTCCTGGCACACCCGCTGGGTACTGTTCTCCTGGACTTTCCTCTCCGCTGCGGCGGCCTGCTCTTCCGACCACTCCACATTGTCCCTGGGAAAATCAAACGGGCAGCTTAGGGGCCTCACGTCCGGCAGGCTGCGTCGCTGGCCACGCAGAGCCTCTCCCGTGGAAGGAGAGCGCCTCGAGCAGGGCAGCGCGACTCGTGGCCGGCGGTCAGGGGCTTCTCAGAGCGCACGGGGCTGCGGGACAGAGGACAAGCCGCAGGCGGGACAAGGGGTAGGGCAGTTACCAGGCATTATGGTGGAAGACGCGCGCCGGATCGTTCAGGAACCTGCTTCCAAACTGCTGCCTCTTCTCGCCGACCGCAGCCGGAGCGCACTCAGGAAAGGGCCCGGCCATGACACCGGAGCCGGATATGCCTACCTTTCCGATACGCGAAAACTTCCTGTGGGGCCACTCCCCCTCCGGAAGTCGCGGGGTCTGGGCGGGAAAAGAGCAAGGAGGGGCGGGGCAGTTCTGAAGCCCCAGTCTGAGTTGGAGCTGGAGCTCCGCCCCATAGGGGCGGTCCTTAAGTTGGGGAAGCGCTCTCCGTGTAGGGAGCGCTCGCCCACAGAATTTCTCTGAGCCGGCTCTTCCTCTGTCGGCAAAAGGGGCCGGTGGCGGTGCAGGCCCGCAGGAAAGTGGGAGACAGGGATCCCTGGGTGGCTCAGCGAGTTAAGCGTCTGCCTTCGGCTCAGGTCATGATCCCAGGGTCTTGGGATCGAGTCCCACATGGAGCGCCTGGGTGGCTCAGCGAGTTAAGCGTCTGCCTTCGGCTCAGGTCATGATCCCAGGGTCTTGGGATCGAGTCCCACATGGAGCTCCCCGCTCAGGGGGGAGCCTGCTTCTGCCTGCTGCTCTCCCTCCTGCTTGTGCTCATGCTCTCCTTCTCACAAATAAATAAAATCTTAAAAAAGGGGCTCCTGGGTAGCTCAGATGGTTAAGCCTCTGCCTTCTACTCAGGTCATGATCCCGGGGTCCTAGGATCGGGCTCCTGGCTCAGCAGGGAGCCCGCTTCTGCCTCTCTCCCTGCTCATGCTCTCTCTGTATCTCTGTCTCAAATGAATAAATATGTATATTTTGTAATCTAAAAAAAAAGTGGGAGACATTACGCTTGAGCCTCCTTTCTATACTGGGGTCCTCTACCAGATTTCCCAGTTTCCCTCAAGTTTGTTTTTTTAAAGATTTTATTTATTTATTTTGACAGAGAGAGACACAGCGAGAGAGGGAACACAAGCAGGGGGAGTGGGAGAGGGAGAAGCAGGATCCCCGCTTAGCGGGGAGCCCGATGCGGGGCTCGATCCCAGGACCCTGGGACCATGACCTGAGCCGAAGGCAGACGCTTAACGACTGAGCCACCCAGGCGCCCTCCCTCAAGTTTTAAGACAGGAAAAATCTTGAATCACTTTGAGAATTAAGGTGCCTAGTTCCCTTTAGACCTGATGGCAGAAGAATTTGAGGAAGATAGCAAGCTGGCTGAGGAAATAAGCAGTTTTCCAGCTTCTGTAGTGGGCTCTTCATAGTGTGAAAAGCTATGAAAAAGAATAAAAGAATACTATTTTTCTGGGTAGGGGGATATGGAATGAATTCTGAGAACATGAGGTTAATTTATATAATTATATAATTTTTAAAGTATGTGTTTTTGTTGTTTTTTTTTTTTAAGAATTTGTCAGAGAGAGAGCACACAAGAAGGGGGAGCAGCAGAGGGAGAAGCAGGCTCCCCACGGAGCAGGGAGCCCTAGTCCGCTTGATCCCACTGATCGGAAGGCAGATGCTTAACGCACTGAGCCACCCAGGTGCCCCTATAATTACATAATTTATAACCACTTACTTTTTGGAATTATCCATACCTGAGCTTGTTCACACAATCAGGACTGTAATACAACACATAAAGTTTGTTATATTAATACATTTTCAGCCTTACATTTCTGTTTCAATAATTACTATAAACTGATTCTCAAAATAATCTAGAAGAAAGTATCCTGTTGATATAAGGTTTAGTTGAGGAGAGTTCCAGGCGAGTAAGGACTACCATTTGGAAGGAGTTAAGGTAATGGTTAATTAGTTATTTAAGTGGTGCAGTACTAGACAGCCCACTGGTAACTAGTAATCATTTACTTCATTGAACATTCTTTCCATAGGCAAAACTGAAGGGAGCTATGAGAGATTCTGTATCTTTCTCAGAAAAGAAATGGAAACAAGCCTTAAACCCTCAATCACAAAGAAAAATACATGAGTGAATCGAAAAAATAAGATAATAAAGAACTTGTACTTTATTCGAAAACATGTTTGCCATTCTCACGGTCTTTTGAAACATTTTGAACAAAACCTCCTTTCCAAAAAACAAGTACAAGGATTTTTATCTTTTCTCAAGGCCAGTTGTTTGATATAGTGGTTGGTTTATATTTATTCTTGGCATCTTGTTCTCTCTTCCGCATGCTTTTTTCTCCCCACACCAAAAACTATTAATGCTCCTAATCAGCAGTCCTACCGCATATTTCCTTGCATAGAGCTCACTCTCTGTTTTCCCCTGAAGTCACTTATTATGTTAGTTCCAATAATTAGTCATTGAAAATGTCAAACAACTTGGTCCCTTTTGATGAAATGTGATAAAATACCCTAAACTTAATTGTTATACAATTATCTTTGGTTGACCTGTACAACTCATTTTTCTTCATCTTTTGAAGCACCTAAAATCATTTTTCTGAAGAAATTTGGAAGACATGGCTGTGAGTCCTTTGTAGTATCAGACTATATATTGGACTGTATCTTCAGCAATACTTTTCAGGGGACCTAAGAGTCCCTCCACTGGTGAGCTTCAAGAGCTTTTCTAGCTGGGTGGCCTGGGTTCAAAGCCTGAAAAAGTTAACAACTCTCAGTCTGGATTATTGCCTTGGGTGTCAACCTGGGACATGGGTAGTTAATTATTTCATGCCTTTCTTTCAGTTCCGATCAGTGGAAATTCTGGTTGGTGTAAGCATGTGCTCTGGAACTGAAAGGTGGGGGAAGGGTGTCCTAATTTGTTTCACGCAACATGCAGCAGCCCTAGAGAAATGAATACGCTGGTTTAACAACTTTAAACAGACTTTGTGGTTTTTTTCTTATTGCAAAATAAATGTGTTTATAGTAGAACATTTAGACAAAAGAAAAAAAGAAACTACCCCATTCCATCCTTAATTTAATCCATTAAACACTTTGGTTTATATGTTTCCAGTCTTTTTTTTCTAATTGACTTATAGAAGTAATTTTTACATTAAAATAGTTTCAGAACTGCGTTATGCCCTTTTTTTCACAGCTTGATTGAGGTTTAGTTTACATACAATTAAATTCATCCATCTTAAGTGTATAGTTTGATACATTTTCATGAAAATCTATGTCTGTGCAACTACCATCAAAATTAGGTTCTAGAACAACCCCGTAAAGTTTTCTCATGGCTCTGAGCAGTTGTAGCCTGTTTTATAAGTTGATAATAGTTTGTGAATATCATTATTCTGCTTTAATGTTCTTTTCTAACCTTGTTTTAATGACCCTGGTATTGTTTTACAGAGCTGTATCATGATTTGCTGGACACTTAGGCTACTTTAAGTTTCTTACTATTAAAAATCCAACATGATAATCATCTTTATAACTAAATCATTTGTATATTCATGATTACTTCTTTAGAAATAATTTCTAGAAGTGAAAGTACTGAGTCAGTGGTTATAATTAGCTGCATTACTCAGCTGTGAGGTCAGGGCATTTTACTGTTCATTCACTGTTATATATCCAAGTCCTAGAACCCAGGCCAGCACAGATTATGCAACTCAATAAATAATTGTTGAATGAATGGCTGAATACCTGTTGCTATACTGTATTTCATCTGCAAGATGCCAGTTTCTACTGTCAACCACAGTGTGGGACAGATTGATAGACTGTATTACTCTACATTTTATTTTATTTTATTTTTTTTTAAAGATTTATTTATTTTGAGAGAGTGAGAATGAGAGAGAGAGAGAACATGAGAGGGGGGAGGGCCAGAGGGAGAAGCAGGTTCCTCGCTGAGCAGGAAGCCCGATGCGGCACTCGATCCCGGGACTCCAGGATCATGACCTGAGCTGAAGGCAGTCGCTTAACCAACTGAGCCACCCAGGCGCCCTTACTATACATTTTAGATTTTCCAGGACAGATATACTTAAAAATATTCTGTCTTGTTATCCAACTGATCCAAGAAAATATCCTGGGAATTTTAATATTTGGCATCCAAATTACATTTCTTAGATTGCCTATTACAGTCATAGCCATACCAAAAAAAATCTGTCAAACCATAGATCTTGTTTTTTGAGTAGGAAGCGTGGTCATGTCTGTAAGATTTTTTTTTTTTTAAGATTTTATTTATTTATTTTTGAAAATATTTTAGTTATTTATTTGACGGGGGGGTGGAGAGAGAGAGAGAGAGAGAGCACAAGCAGGGGAAGCGGTAGGCAGAGGGAGAAGCAGGCTTCCTGCTGAGCAAGGAGCCCGATGCCGGGCTCCATCCCAGGACCCTGGGATCATGACCTGAGCCAAAGGCAGACGCTTAACAACTGAGCCACCCAGGCATCCCAAGATCTTGTTTATTTGAGAGAGACAAAGAGAGCAAGAGAGAGTGAGCAAGAGAAAGCACAAACAGGGGGAAGGGCAGAGGCAGAGGGAGAAGCAGACTCCCCGCTGATCAGGGAGCCTGACATGGGCTCAATCCCAGAACCCTGGGATCACGACCTGAACTGAAGGCAGACGCTCAACTGACTGAGGCACCCAGGTACCCCAAGGTTCTCTTTCTCAACATCATAATATTGTAAAGAATGGCAAATATATTTAGACAGTTTTGAATATTCAAGGTTAACACAAATATACTTCAAGTCCATTTCATTAAATAATTTTAGGAGTCTTCACTATTGTCATTACTTTTTTCTGGCATGGTGCGATTTTATATTATAAGCCACTGTCTCCATCAATATGGAACATCTCTTTTCCTTTTTCTAACAGGGAAAAAAAATGTAATGGATGATAATCCCTAAACAGGATTAAAATAGTAAATTTTATGCATATTTTTCCACCATAAAAAAGTGCACCTCCCAAACTTGTAATACAGTTATACATGTGCATCTTTATTAAATACACTAAAGAACAACAGCAACAAGTGTAATGGTGAGATCAACTATTTTTAAGAGGGATTCAAGAGATCAGCCCTATGACGTGTGACTAAGGAGCCTTAGGAACACCCAAATTTAATCAAGATTCCCTGGGAGATGGTGATATTAACCCCTGGAACTGAAAGATCATTGTCGTCTGCTGCCTCTGGCCTCTTTTACAAATAATCAAAAACCCAATGTCACTTAAACTCATAAACTCAGATGCTTGTTGCTGGGAGAGCCCTTAGGGGCTCAGAGAGGCAGCCCTGTGTTGAGTAAGTGCCCGCCTGCGGCTTTTCTCCTTCTGCCCGGGCAGTTTTGAGCCAGGTGGGGGCAGCAGAGCGCAGCCGTTTGCTGCAAAGGTAACCGCATCGCCTCTAGTTACTCGTTCAGAATTAGGAAAGGGAAGCCACATTATGACTTAAACTTTTTTACTGGTCAGAATCCAAAAGATGTCAACATTTCCAGCGGCTAAGAATGTACTAGACAAAAGCAAGAAACCGTAATTTTGATATCTATGAAAAAGTAGTTTGCAATGAGCTGTTTAGAAAATGTAGAAATTTCATTGTCGAAACCCTTTGAAAGCTTTCCGTTTTCTTTTTCTTCCTGTCTGTGTGTCACACTCACTGATATCTGAGGAAGAAGAGAATACAGAGTTGTGGAAGGTATTCCTATTCACGTAGGCATCACATAACCTTAGGTCCTTCGGCGAAAGTAATTCTTGGCAAACATTCCAGGACCACGTATAAGTAGAAAAGGTGTCATAAAAGGACTCATTTTTAGTGTCTACTCCAATCAGATCCCCTCGGATCTTCCGCCAGAGGTTTAGCATGTCTTTCCGGTGCTCAAGGGCAATTCCCAAGTTATAGGCATCAGTAGCTCTCTTCACCTGCAGTGAGAGAACAGACATTTGCAGTAGTTAGCTTAACATATCTTTGACTTATGAACCACAATTCTAGACATCCCAAGAGTTACATTCCCAGGCTAGGTGAAAATCACCGAGTTTATCCATTGGGTGGAACCTCCAGAGGACATGTGAGTTAGAAGCTGATGGACAATCAAAATGTATGATTTGGGAATAATGAGATAAGACATTTATGACAATATTAAAAACACAATAAACTAAACCAAGGAGGAAATGTCGGATGGAGATAGTCTCTGGAGATAAAAGGAGTGCCAAGGATGGCACTCAATCCAGCCTAGGGCAGGGAGGGAGAAGATTCTGAGTAGTTCCTAGAGGATTTAACCGGATTGAGGGAGTCAGTGGTGATGGGAAGGTGTTGCAGGGAAAGGAGAGAGCATAAACAAAGGCAGAGGTAACAAGCCTCTGGAGTTGGTAGGAGGCACAAACATGTTGGTAGTGCTAAAATGTCGAGTTTTGAAAGTGAGAGGGAAGGAATGATGCAGGCAAGGCAAGCAAAACGTTGTCTGCTGTAGGGGCCCTTAGACTTGATCTCAGTGAGGCTGAGAGAGACCTTTTCTCAGTGAAAATCAATCTGTAGTAAGCCACTATTTCTTTTCTTGTCTTTTTTTTAGGCATTCTTTTTTATTTTTTTTAAAAGATTTTGTTTATTCATCTGAGACACAGAGATACAGAAGGAGAGAGAGAGAATGAGCAGAGGGAGAGGGAGAAGCAGGCTCCCCGCTGAGCCGGGAGCCCAATGTGGGGCTCGATTCCAGGACCCTGGGATCATGACCTGAGCCGAAGGCAGAGGCTTATGCATCTGAGCCACTCAGGCTCCCCTGTAAGCCACTATTTCTGATGGAAGTGAGACAAATCTCAGTGTGTGGAGCAGAAAATATAGTTGAGAAACCCTGCCATTGTTGAGAGGGAAAGATTCATCTGCAAGCAGGACAGGGATATAGCTATACCTTCATAATAGATCATTAGCAGCTGTGTGGAGAATGGGTGGAGGGGAGAAGCTGTGAGGCAGGGATAGGAGGTTGGAGGGTGTTGTCCAGGCAAGACCGAATGAGGGCCTCAGTTAAGGCAGGAGGGGTAGGATGAAGGGGATGGATTTGAAAAATCTTCAGGAGAACAAGAGTAGCCACAGTTGGTCATAGGTGGATGAGTAAGGACAATATATAAATTAGGATGATTCCTCGCCTTCTAGTTTCATCGACAGGGTAGATAGTGGTATCAACACCGGATGTCAAGAAGAATCCCCAAGGGAAGAGCCAGTTTGACGCAGATGATGAGTTTGGTTTGGACATGTAGAGTTTGATATGCTGAGACAGGTAAAAATATTCATCAGGCAGTGAGATAAGTCAAAAGTACTGGAGAGGGGCGCCTGGGTGGCTCAGTTGGTTAAGTGACTGCCTTCGGCTCAGGTCATGATCCTGGAGTCCCGGGATCGAGTCCCACATCGGGCTACCTGCTCAGCGGGGAGCCTGCTTCTCCCTCTGACTCTGCCCCCTCTCATGTGCTCTCTCTCTCTCTCAAATAAATAAATAAATAAAAAATCTAAAAAAAAAAAAAGTACTGGAGAGAAGTCTAGGCTAGTGACAAATTTAAGAGTTATCAGGATACAGGTGGCAGCTGAAACAAGGAGGGTAGCCTGAGATTGTCTGAAGAATACTTGCCCTAGTTTTTCCTTCACTTAACACAGAGATTCCCAATGTTCTGCTGGGTTACAGGTAGGACACATTACTGATCTTCTCAAGCTTCTTAGCCCTTGGGGCAGCTGCTGCTGTAGACTGGAGGTCTCTGGCTATAAGCAGCCTCCATTTACTCCAGCATGAATATGTGCCATGATGAGACAGAGGTTGGGAGCCCACTCCTCTGTGGCATGCAGTACTGACGACCTACAGTTTCATTTATTCCCATATATTACTACTGCATATTTCCTTTTCTTCCACCCTCACTCCAAGCTCAAGATCATGGAGGGCAGGAGCTATGTACCCCCCGTGGCATCCCCTAATCCTAGAACTTTATTAATAATGTATAAATACTTACTAAAAAAATGAATGGATGAGTGCATATAATGGGAAGAGCAGTAGGATGGGCCTAGAAAACAAGGAAATATCAAGACTTAAGGGGTGAACATTCAGGAAAGTGAAGTGAGAGGAAGGGACACAGAGCTGCAAGATGTAGTATTTATAAAGGCCGAAGAAGGAGAAAATGCCAAGGAAAGTTTGATCGCTAGTGTCAAATGCAGAAGGGAGGGTGCCTGGGTGGCTCAGTTGGTTAAGCGACTGCCTTCGGCTCAGGTCATGATCCTGGAGTCCCGGGATCGAGTCCCACATCGGGCTCCCTGCTCGGCGGGGAGTCTGCTTCTCCCTCTGACCCTTCCCCCTCTCATGTACTCTATCTCATTCTCTCTTTCAAATGAATAAATAAATAAAATATTAAAAAAATGCAGAAGGGAGGCAGCATGAAATACATACACCTCAGTCTGTCTCTGTGGAGTACAAAAATTGCTAAGACGTCAGGGCACAAAAGTAGATAGGCAGCACAGAGTTGCAGTTAAAAGTGTGGATTCCAGAGCCAAGCTTCTCATGTTTATAATTCTGGCTCTATTACTTCTGCCTTTAGACAAGTCAACCTCTCTTGCATATTTATAAAATGACAATGATAACAGCACCTATCCGGAAGGACTGTTGTGATAGGTAAATTAATTAACGTTTGTAGAGTACTTCTAGAGCACCGTGCCTGGCACCTAGGAAGTGCACTCAAACTCTTCTTCTTCTTTTAGCTGCTATAATCAAGATGCTTTCACTCATCATGATTCCCTTAGTACACCTGCTCACTGTGACTGCTGGTTTGCTGCTTTAATTAGTTGCTATTTCCAGCATGACACAAACGAAGGTCCCAGAAACGATACTGTGTATGGTTCCATGGGTGATTAGCAGGATGAATTATAACAGTTAACATTTGAATCCATTTGATCACAGAGCAAGAAGCATCATTACAATGGGTAAAAATGAGAAATGACTTTGTCTTATTTTAAAGACATAGAGCAGAAAAAATATCTTTGGGATGGTTGTAGTATTGAAGTAGAAAATATTCTGGTCAACGCGTTCTGGGAAGGCATGCAGCAGTGAATACTCACGTGCTGTTTAATAGCAGTTGCATCCGTCACTGTCCAATTCTGCTTTTTCTTGAGTATTTGGTCAATGGCTAGGATGTCACTTGGATAGCCTGAGACTGGGTCGATAGGCTTTATATTTGCTGCCTTTATGCACACACACACACACACACACACAAAGAAGGTTAGTGATATATTTTGGGTTAAATATACAACAAAGACATAATAAACAGAAATATGTCGTATCAGGAAGGGGTTTGTATGTGATTTATAAGGTTATTGCTAAGCCACTTGTCCATTGTTTTGGGGCACCTGGTATAGCACCATGTGTAACTGAGCATTTAGCAAATTCTCTTTTATAATGATGAAGCCTACTCAGAAGTGTAGACCAGAAGATGGTTTATATGTGGAATGGATATGGAGGGTAGAGAAGAGCCAACTCTATCCTCCCCCAAATTTCCAAGCCATCACCAAGCACTGAAAAGCGAAGAAGGTGCCCTCCACAGAATACAACCTATATTACTTCCAAACTTCCACTGGGGAACCAGCTATTTTCCCTGTTCCTGGACTGCTGAACAATGCTGGTGGAAATCATGTAAATATGTGGATGGCTTTCTTTGATAATGTGTAGTACCCAGTCTCATCCAGGCTGTTAGTACTGCTTGACCCTACTTTCCTTCACTAGATGCTGTTAATTCTCTTACAGACATGTTCCATGTCTCTCTTCCTTAACAGGTACAGTTAAGCTCTTACAGAGCTGTCTTCTTAGTGGCTGCTGGAAAACCAGATCGGCTAATGATTATTTCTCCAGGACTAGCTAACATGAATTCTTTTCACTCTTCTCTCCACCTTAGGATTTTTCTCCATTGTGTAGCCTGGTTTTTCCTCTTTGCCTCTTCTATGTGAGAGTTTCTTTTTGATTTCCAAGACCAAAGTCTCCCCCTGTATCTTTATTAATTCCCCTCCTGGACCATTTCCCTTCGATTTTCCTTGTTCCATGGCTGGCTTCATCGGTGTGTGACTTGTGCAATCCCATAGGACCAGAAGGGCCCTGAATTTGGTTTATTGCTCTGCAGTTGCAGTGTTTAAATTCTTAGTAATTTTTGGACAAGGGGCCCTACATTTCCATTTTGCCCTTGGCTCCACAAATTATGTAGCCAGTCCTGCCTCTCTCCTACATCTTCAGTTTCTCTTCCTTGGCCAGTGGTTGTCAGCTTTGGCTGCATGTTGGAACTTTTAAAAATACCAAAGCCTAAACCCCATCTCAATATCTGATTTAATTGGATAGGGCTGTGGCCTGGACACAGGGTGGTTAAAAGCTCTCCTTGGTGGTTCTGTTGTGCAGCCCGGATTGAGAACCACAGCTCTAAGGGCCCTTCCTCCTGGCTACTAATGTGCTCAAGTTCCCCTGTCCCCAAACAACTTTTTCTAGATTCTGATTCTTCATGTTCCATGTCTCTCTTCCTTAACAGGTACAGTTTTTTGTAAAATGAGCTGATTTCCTTTCTTTCCCCCTTTGGTCTGCTTTTTTAGTTTCTAGAGATACATGATAAATATCTCCCACTGTGATTATGGATTTGTGTATTCACTTTCTTAGCATGCATAATGCCAAAAAAAAAAAAAGTCTAAAGTTGATCCTTACAATTCTGTGAATTGTCACCTTATCTGTCAATTTGCTAGGTGCATACAGGTTCAAGATAGATATATCTTCCTGACAATTTAAAAAAATAATTAAATAGCATCTTTATCTTTAGTTACGTTTTCCTTAAATTTTACTTTCCCCATACTAATATATTGATACCAGCTCACTCCGATTTGTATTTGTCTGATGTATCTTTTCCTGTCCTTTTACTTTCAAACTTTGTGTTGTATTTTAGATGTGTCTCCTTTAAAGAACAGATATCTGAAAATTATTAAAAATCAGTCTCAGTATCCTTTTTTTAGACTTGAAAGATGACCCATTGTCTATTTTTTCTTTTTAATACTTTTTAATTAAACTAGTATGTTTTAATCTTTTATTGTGATTATTGATATATTTGGATTTTTCTGCCTATTTTATTTCGCACTTTCTATTATTCCATGTTTTCTCTTTTTTCTTGTTCCTTCCCCCTTCTATTCAACAGTTATTCATTATAATGATTATTCATTAAATTATTCATGATTCATTTTAGTGATTATCCTCACATTTTTAACACTCATTATAAATTTAACAAAATATAGGAAGCTTTAATTCTGAGTACCACCCTCCTCATCTCCTGTGTCACTGTGGTGTATAGTATTTTAGTTCTTGTTGATTAGTACTCCCCAAACCAGTAATTCTTCTTTTCTTTAAATTTTTATTGTTATGTTAATCACCATACATTACATCATTAGTTTTTGATGCAGTGTTCCATGATTCATTGTTTGCCTATAACACCCAGTGCTCCATTCAATACGTGCCCTCTTTAATACCATCACCAGGTCTTTTCTTTTTTTATAAACGATTAATTTATTGGGACACCTGGGTGGCTCAGTCAGTTAAGCGTCTGCCTTTGGCTCAGGTCATGATCACATTGGGCTCCCTGCTCCGCGGGGAGCCCACTTATCCCTCTGCCTCTGCCTCTCTCTGTCTGTCTCTCATGAATAAATAAAATCTTTATTTTTTATTATTTTTATTTAAAAAAATTTTTTTTAAATTTATTTGACAGAGAGAGACAGCGAGAGAGGGAACACAAGCAAGGGGAGTGGGAGAGGGAGAAGCAGGCTTCCCGCGGAGCAGGGAGCCCGATGTGGGGCTCGATCCCAGGACGCTGGGATCATGACCTGAGCTGAAGGCAGATGCTTAACGACCGAGCCACCCAGGCACCCCTAAATAAATAAAATCTTTAAAAAAATGATTTATTTATTTATTTGAGAGTGTGTGTGTAGGGTGGGGAGGGGCAGATGGAGAGGGAACAGACTCCCTGCTGAGTGGGGAGCCTTATGCTGGGATCCATCCCGGGACTCTGAGATCATGACCTGAGCCAAAATCAAGAGTTGGATGCTTAACCTCCTGGGCCATCCAGGTGACCTTTAAATGTAAATTTAAATAGCCACTGTGGCTACCATTATTGGAAGACTCAAGTTTAGATTGTGTAGGACCCTGAGTGTTACAGTAAGGATTTTGGCTTTTACTTTGAGTAATGTGAAAAACCACTGGCAAGTTTTGAGCTGATTTTAGTGGAGCCACTTTGGTTGCTGTGTTGAGAATAGACTGCAGAGGACAAAGATAGAAGTGGACCATTTAGGAAGCTGTGGACACTATCTCTGCTGATATGATTAGAGACAATCTTGCTCTCAATAAAGGCTTTGTATTATAATTTCCTTTCATCTAAAAGATGCTGAGTCTCCTATGGGCCAGGTTCTGTTCTAGGTGATAGGGATCCTTCAGTGAAAGAAATAAAGTCCTTGCCTACATGAACCTTATATTCTGGTTGGAGAGATTGACAGTAAACAGATAATGATCACAGGTGGAGGGCTTAGTGTTGGGAAATAAATTTAAAGGGGAATAAAGTTCCCCTTATTTCCAACTTGTCGGTGATATCTCCCTGTGGGTAGGACTTCATCTGGAGAGATAAATTCAAAGTCTGAACTTAAGGTCATTTGTGACTGTGATACTCCTCCAGAGTCTATTTTTTTTTTTAAGTTTTGATTCAAATTCTGGTTAGTTAACATACAGTGTAATAATAGTTTCAGGTGAGGGCGCCTGGGTGGCTCAGTTGGTTAAGCGGCTGCCTTCAGCTCAGGTCATGATCCTGGAGTCCCAGGATCCAGTCCCGCATTGGGCTCCCTGCTCACCAGGGAGTCTGCTTCTCCCTCTGACCCTCCCCCCTCTCATGTGCTCTCTCTCTCTCATTCTCTCTCTCAAATAAATAAATAAAATCTTTAAAAAAGTTTTTTTTTTTCATATAGTGATTCAACACTTGCATACAACACCTGGTGCTCATCACAACAAGTGCATCCTTAATCCCCATCACCTATTTAACCCATCCCCCTACCCACCCCCCTTCTGGGTACTGTTTGTTCTCTATAGTTAAGAGTCTGTTTCTTGCTTCTCTCTCTTTCTCTTTGTTTCCCCTTTGCTTGTTTGTTTTGTTTCTTAAATTCCACATATAAGTGAAATCATACAGTTTGTCTTTCTCTGACTTATTTCCTTTAGCATAATATTCTTTAGTTCCATCCACATTGTTGCAAATGGCAAGATTTCATTCTTTTTTGTTTGTTTGTTTTAGCTACAGCTATTGGCTTTAATAATTTTTTTATTGTTTTGTTAACCACCATACATTACATCATTAGTTTTTGATGCAGTGTTCCATGATTCATTGTTTGTGCATAACACCCAGTGCTCCACACATACCCATCACCAGGCTAACCCATCCCCCCACCCCCTCCCCTCTAGAACCCTCAGTTTGTTTTTCAGAGTCCATCGTCTCTAATGGTTCGTCTCCGGCAAGATTTCACTCTTTATGCACCATGGAATATTGCTCAGTCATAAAAAAGATATATATATCTACACACACACACACACACACACATCCCACCTCTTCTTTATCCATTCATGTATCAATGGAGATTTGGGCTGTTTCCATAATTTGGCTATTGTAGATAATGCTGCTATAAGCATTGGGGTGCATGTATTTCTTCGAATTAGTATTTTTGTGTTCTTTGGATAAATACCTCATAGTGCAATTGCTGGGTCATAGGGTAGTTCTATTTTTACCTTTTTGAGGAACTTCCATACTGTTTTCCAGAGTGGCTGCACCAGCTTGCATTCCCACCAAGAGTACAAGAGGGTTCCCCTTTCTCTACATCCTTGCCAGCACCTGTTTTCCCCTAGAATCTTTAAAAATTTTTTATTTGGGTGGCTCAGTCGGTTAAGCATCTGCCTTCTGCTTCATCATGATCTTGGAGTCCCAGGATCGAGTCCCATGTTGGTCTCCCTGCTCATTGGGGAGTCTGCTTCTTCCTGTGCCCCTCACCCCACTCTCGTGCTCTCTCTTTCTCAAATAAATAAATAAAATCTTTAAAAAACAATTTTTATTTTATTATGGTAAAAACACTTAGCATGAGATTTTTGCTCTTAACACATTTTTGGCATACAATACGTTTTGTTAACTATAGGCACAGTGTTGCACAGCATATCTCTAGAATTACTCATCTTGCATAATTGAGACTGTATGCCCATTGGTTAGCAGCTCCCCATTAACCCCTGCCCCTGGCCTCGGGGAACTCTTAAACTCTATGCCTGGAGGGACTTCTAGGAGGTTTCATAGTGATGTGAACACCACATGGATTTCTGGAACCCAGAGATGCCTCACTGGTCTCCAGTCAAATCTTTCTTTTTTTTTAAAGATTTTATTTATTTATTCGACAGAGAGAGGGAGAGCACAAGCAGAGGGAGCGGGAGAGGGAGAAGCAGGCTCCCCACTGAGCAGGGAGCCTGATGTGGGGCTCGATCCCAGGATCCTGGGATCATGACCCGAGCTGAAGGCAGATGCTTAGCCGACTGAGCCATCCAGGCACCCCTCCAGTGAAATCTTGATGTTCTGCAGGCTGGGAGGCCTGTCATAAGCCAGGACTGAGGCCAGAGCTTCCTCAGCGAATACCCAGAAACCAAGGCATGGCTGCCTGAGACTTTAACATTCAGAGCTTGAAGTAGGCCAGAAGGTGTAGCCAGGCCTATAATTAGGGGTCTAGTCCAAGAGCAGGATGGCCACTCCATCACAGATTGTGCCACTGGGTTGTGGACCTGGTCCTCTCATCCCATGGTATCTGGCCCAGCCACAATCTAGAACAAGATCTAGAGCTAGTTGAGGGAGCCCAAAATGCAACTTTTGGCCACTAGGGTGAAGGGAGAGCCAGTGTAGGTAGCATCTGAGGGCCTTTTTATTGTTATTGTTATACTCCCCACCTCTAACCCCAAGCCTAAGGTTGTAGTTTTCAGTAAGTTTAACTATTTGTTGAGATTAAATGAAATATTTATACCTGGGCTTAAATTTAGGAACATGGCTATGGAATCTGGTTTGAAATATAATGACTGAAGACGTTTGTCATTAAAAAAAGTATTAGTTCTGTTAAGTTAGAACTTGAAAACCTAAGTATTTAAATTAACTAATGTGACATAACCAAAATCTTACCTGTGTCTTCCAGTCTCTTTTATGGAAAAAGTAGTTCTCAAAGAAATCCAGAGGCTCCCTTCTCCTCAGCATTTCTAGTTTCTGTATGTCTTTGAAGGGCTTTCCCATCACCACCCCATCCATATTAGGAAACAATGGAAAGATGGGTATTTTTGAATATGGGCTACCTGAAGGAGGACTGCACCCTTAAAAGATAAAAACAAAATACCAAAAATGGTATTATGAACAGTATAAGAAGAAATTCGCATAAAAGACATACATGTGTCTATTTTGCTTTGTCTAGTCTTCTCAGTGGCCATGACCTTCCTTTTCACTCTCCTCACCCCCCACCCCCATACACAGAGTCTAGGCTTCATCCAGACTCCAGGCTTCCCCTGTATCAGGAGGATTCAGGTGAAGGTGCGGATTTGCTTTCAAATGATATCTGTGTGACAGAGACCAGTCACTCAGAATAGGCTGTGGTCCTGCTTCTTTAGCATTTGGCCTCTAGTATTTATTTCTGACCAGGAATATACAAATAAATCCTTCACAACAAGGGGGAGAGGACAAATCGTTCTTACGCTTGAGCTCTTCAAGAAATGTAAGTAAATCCTTTTCTTTCATTATTGTGATTCGGGCAGCATTAGCAAAGGCGGCCGTGCTTGAGCTTGGAGGTGTGCGTATGTCTGGTTTAAACCTCCTTTTCCCATAACCCATAGTGTAGGGACTCCACGACATTCCTGACGTGGTATCTTGGAATTTTCTTCGGAAATAGCTAAAAAAAAAAAAAAAAAAAGTAATCCAAAAAAAGAATAGAAAATGCTATATAGTCCTGCTGAAAAAGTGTCTAAGTATTGGACAAAAAAGAAAAAAAAGTCTAGTTGCAAGTTATATGCTGAATACATTAATTAATTCTTTTTATAAAGATCTTATTTATTCATCTGAGAGAGTGAGAGGAGAGAGAAACAGCATGAGCAGGGGATAGGGTCAGAGGGAGAAGCAGGCTCCCTGCTCCGGGGAGCCGGACATGGGGCTCGATCCCGTCATGACCTGAGCCGAAGGCAGTCGCTTAATGACTGAGCCACCCAGGCGCCCCCCTTATGACTTCCTAACTACCATCTTAACCACGAAATCTAACTCTACCCCTTCAGTCCTGACTTCCCTTGGCCTCACTTTAGCATTTAATACTGGGGGAAGGTCTGTCCTGGTTTAGATTTGTCTGTGGCCCTGGCTTCCGACTTCACACCGTCCTGGTTCCCTCCTTGATGACTAATGTTTGCTTTGCTGACTCCTCTGTCTCTTTCCATTCCACAAGTATGGGAATTCCTTGTGGTTCTGTCCTCAGTCCTTTGCTTCTTTCCCCGCCCCCTCCCCAGCATGGGGCTAGGGAGAAGTGCAAGGCTGTGAGGCAGGTTTAGGAGGTCAAACGGGTGGGACTTGGTGATTAGCTGGATGTGGGGCGTGACGGAGCAGCAGCAAGGAGGCCAGCACAGACTGACCGGAGTAACAGGCCGCAAAGACAAAGAGGTCAGAGGTGGGTGCAGATCACCTGGAGGGCCAGTAAGTCACGTGAAGTGTGAGGCTTGTACTCTGAGGGAAATGGGAGGGTTTTGAAGGTTCTGAGCAGAGGAGTGACATGATCCAACACGGTGCTAAAAGGATCATTTGGTGCTGTAGGCGTCAAGGCATCAGCCAGGCAGAGGACGTGTTGAGAACAGACTGTGGAGCCGGCAAGTCATGGGGGTGGGAGTCAAAAGGTGCAAGCAGGGAGACCAGTTAGGAGACAGTGATCCAGGAAAAAGCTGATGCATGTCAAGTGCACACTCAGAACTCTGCACGTAATGCTCAATAAATGCTATAGTCAACTATGGGAATACTTTTCAAATTCTACCATTATCCAGCTTGAGATCGGCTTTCTTAGAAACTAAATGAATGATCTTTGCCACTCATTTGACAGTTAATTATGTGATATATTTTGTATCTACATACTTACGGCTTTTTCTCTCAATTTATATTTTAAGTTCCTTAAATGCAAATGCTACGTATTAAACACTTGATCTCCTTAGAAACCAGGTATATGAAAAGTAACAACCATAATCATCATCGTAATAAAAACACCATCAGCTAAGATTTCCTGAGAGGCAATCTAGGGGGTGGATAGGAGCATGGGTTCTAGAATCAGACTGTGCTAAAATCTAGGCACCACTGCCCGTTGGGCAAGTTACTTAATACCTGTACTTCAGGTTTTTCATCTGTAAAATGAGGATAATAGTACCCATTAAGGAAGTGAGGATTAAAACAGATAATATATATGCTCTATGACTATTCTAGCTACTTCCACATAATAATAATATATATTGAGCTCCAGGAATTTTTTTTTTTTTAAATTTTATTTATTTGAGAGAGAGAGAGCACCAGCAGGGGGAGTGGGAAAGGGAGAAGCAGACTCCCAGCTGAGCAGGGAGCCCGATGCGGGGCTTGATCCCAGGACCCTGAAGATCATGACCTGAGCTGAAGGCAGACACTTAACCGACTGAACCACCCAGGCGCCCCTAGCTCCAGGAATATTTATTGAACCACTTCACCTGCGTTATCACATATCATCCCCACAACTGCCCTATAAAGTAGGTATTATTATTATTATGATTTTAAGGTAGGTATTATTATTGTTGTTCCCATTTTATAGGTGAGGAAACCAAGGCTGAGAAGTTAAGCAATGTGTCAAATTTGTGTACCAACAACAGGCATTTAATAAATGCCTTTGAAATGGAATGAAGAGTAGAATTTTGTGTACCCTCTGGTTCCACATCTGACAAATATAGGATAGCATAGAGAGATGATTATCCATTGAGGATTCTGAAAACATTCTGTATTTTTAAGTCTAAAAGGGAAAGCAGAATGCTTTGAAAGAATATGAACTAAAAGGCTTGATAACAGCAATATTCAATATCTATAATACAATGATATAAATAGTTTGAGGAAATTTATCTTTAGTGGTATTTGCTGGAATAAAACATATTTGGGTGTGAGAATGTTTCTTCATCCTCTATTCTCAAGTTCAGTTCTGGCTCAGCTCCAGTCCAAAGTCTACTTTGGGAGGTCTGAAATTGCTCTACATCATCCCAGAGTCAAAAGAGCCCCTGGTCATTCCAGCACGAATGGGCGTGTCTTCCAAACTAGATTTCCAAGCCCACCCGAAGTCATCCCTGGAAAAGTTTTATTCTTCTGGGATTCTCTAGCTTAGGGTAGAAGAGTCTGAACCTTCTTGGCTATCTTAGGCCCTCAGTGGGCCCTGAGATGCTCTGAGGTCAGTCTTGCAATTTCAGAGTTAGCACAGTTGGGATGAAGGAATAAGGTCCCATGTGGCATATGAGCTTTGCCACAGACTCCTTCTCCTTTGTTTTGGAGCAGACCCCGTGGAGGAGGATGTTAATCAGAGGTGACTGCCTTGTAAATAGCTTCACAAGTGCTTCTAAGAAGGCCAATTTTACCCTTCTTTGCCACTTACCTTACTATTTCCATTATAGCCTTTCTGGGTAAAGCTGAAGTCTCTACAAGCTTTGATAGGATTTCAAACAACAGGATCCCTGGGTTGCCAGCTGAATCTAAACATTTCTCCTTTTCTGGAACTGTGAAGGGGAAAAAAATTCAAAATGCGTTCTGAAAAAAACATCTCTCAAAGAAAGTAATAAGTCGACAGTCTTTTTAGTCTATTTACAATATTAATACTGAGCCAGGTACTAGAGAATTATAAAAAAACATTCAAAATCTGTTCTATTTGGGACACCTGGGTGGCTCAGTCGTTAAGCGTCTGCCTTCAGCTCGGGTCATGATCCCAGGGTCCTGGGATCCAGCCCCGCATCGGGCTCCCTGCTCAGTGGGAATCCTGCTTCTCTCTCTCCCACTCTCCCTGCTTGTGTTCCCTCTCTCGCTGTCAAATAAATAAAATCTTTAAAAAAAACCGAAACCAAACCAAACAAAAAAACACAACAAAATCTGTTCTATTTGGTAGAAAGGTCATTTTGATTATTGGACACACTAATCATTAAAAAATGCTTTTAGTTCCATGACTTCTAAGTAAATATTGACTTGTAAGTTAATACATTTAACATAAACATGATTTATGTATTAAGGACTATTGTCTTGTTCTTCTGGGTAAAGGAATTGCTGATCAATGTATCTCAGGCTTGCAGGGAAACCCTCGTTACTACAGTAGTACTTGAAGCAGTAGCTTCTGTCTCTTCTAAGGACAGTTCACTGCCTATGAATGAATGTATTTTCAAAACTGTACACAGTATTTGGAATTTGGTATGTATTTATCCCAGAAAACATGACACAAATTGTGGTTAGTTTTTCCAAGGCAGACTGTAAAACTCATAAACAAACCATCAGAGGACTTAAATAACAGTATGTCAAGGACACCTCCACATCACTTACAACCTTGTGTGAGAACATGCTCTTTAGCCTCCAGCCAACTCTCCCGTCCTCTCACCAAGGGCAGACTTCATCAGGGTGAGGAAGAAATTTTTTGGGAATAGTGAATTATTGATACCCCCCAGTTTGCATGAAAGAGAGCATTTGTCTTTTTCTAAAAAAATTTTTATTTGTAAAGGGAGTACCTTCCAAAGTAGCACATGCACTTGGTAAAGAATAAGAGGTGATGGAATTTTTCTACACTATTCCAAGTGTTCCTCATTGGAGACCAAAAAGCAGTGTCTCCTGCAGAAGGACTTGATGCACTTAAGTTAAAATTCTAAAATTGTATCAATTTGCTTAGCAAAAGTTGTTTTGGAGAAGTAGTACAACAGTAAATCTCATGCCAGAGTACCCCTTCCTCACTTGTCTCCTGCTCAGAGGCCTAAATGAATAATGGTTACTATGCAGCGAATCACAGCCACCCAACAGCCATGTTCAGCAATATCTCTACTCACCCACAGCTTTAAGGAAGCGGTTTTTATCTGTTAGCACCTTTATAAAGTCTGAGAAATTCACTTTCCCATCTCCTGCAACAGAAATCTAAGGCTCAGAACAAGGATATAAGATGCATTTTAGTCATCAGATTATATACTAAATATAAAATGAAAACACCTTGGACTATTCAATACTTAAAATCAGACAGCATGGGGGTGCCTGGGTGGCTCAGTCGTTAAGCGTCTGCCTTCGGCTCAGGTCATGATCCCAAGGTCCTGGGATTGAGCCCCGCATCGGGCTCCCTACTCTGCGGGAAGCCTGTTTCTCCCTCTCCCACTCCCCCTGCTTGTGTTCCCTTTCTTGCTGTGTCTCTGTCAAATAAATAAATAAAATCTTAAAAAACAATGAGACAGCATGTTAAGGCTGGCGATGCGCTCAGGGAAGCACTGGTCTTCTTGAAGTGGTTTTGGCACCATTACGTGAGTCACCCACAGCCGCCAGAAGCAATGGTGGGGTATAAACATCAAATCAGGGGCTCCCAGTCCCTGCAGTCCTACCCATTCACTCCTTTCTGAAAGACGTGCCATTTTTGCAAGGAATCCACTCCTGCTTTCCCACTCCATACCAACGTCTGGTATTTCTATTATTCTAACACCCCCAAATTGTACCCAGTCTCCTCTGACTTATAGGATAGTGCTATTAGAAGCATGTGTGTGTGTTTCGATGCAAGAACAGGAAAACTGGGCAGTTAGTGGAAACAAGTGACACCTTAATTAACTGGTGACGCTCACTCATACGTGGAGCTTATGCTAATTGAATGGGGCACTGGCAGTTGGGTGGGGGGAGGTGAGAGGAGATGATTTGCTGACTGTATATTCCATACAACATACCAGCTCGGGCTATCTTCACTAGGTCAGTATATTCAAAGGAAATATTATCTAAAAGCTTTAAAAATAGCAAGAAAAATGCTGTGGCATTTAAAATTCAATATAGGTGGCCTCTAAAGATCAAAGGAAGATTTGTACTAATATGATTCAAATGGAAACAAAGGGCTTGGATTTTCTTGGTAATGTGTCATTTTTGAAACTGTCAATGCCTTTGTATCTGTTATTTCAAGGCACCCTCCAAAATGTATATCATGATAGGTAATCTGAATTTAGTATTGAAATGTGATAGTCACTTTTAGTTTCCATACAAGATTTTTCAAATAGTCCATTTTGTAGCATTAATTTGATTTTTTTGCATTAATTTGATTTTGTAACTTGTACACATACCTTACTGATATCCTTAAAGAGAAACACATATAGGTACTTTTTTTTTAAAGATTTTATTTATTTAATTGACAGAGAGAGAGAGAGAGAGAGACAGCGTGAGAGGGAACATAAGCAGGGGGAGTGGGAGAGGGAGAAGCAGGCTTCTGGCCTAGCAGGGAGCCTGATGCGGGGCTCAATCCCAGGACCCTGGGATCATGACCTGAGCTGAAGGCAGTCGCTTAACCAACTGAGCCACCCAGGCGCCCCCATATAGGTACTTTTGATAATGAGGTATATTTGTTTATATAATCACTGAAAGAAAAATATATATTTATAAAAACCTTTTATGAGAAAAATAATTACAAGTCAAAGTACTCACGATCAATATCAGCACATCTTAATTCATTATAGACATCATGCTTGGTTAGATTCATTCCCAACTTAGCTAAAGTGCACATCATTCCATGTAAATCAATACAGCCAGTTTTATCCTTGTTAAAGAAGTTGTAGGCATCTCGGAAGGCTGAGGAAATGTAATTAAGTTAGGCAGTTATTCAAGAATAAGTACATATTCTAATGGAACTAGGACTGACTATATAGTTGATTGGACATCATGTTCTGAAAAAGTATTGAGAGAAAAATGCATACTTAATAGACATTTCATATAAAGGACAATGTCCTTCCATGAGATTTGAATTGGAATAAACTAGTTGGTGGAAAACCAAATATGTTGGCAAAATGGCCTTTGAAAGCAGTCCATACCTTAATTTCTGGAATCTGTGAATGTATTACTTATATGACAGAAGGGACTTTGCAGATATAATTAAGATAAATTACTCTGGATTACGGAGTGGGCCCAATCTAATCATAGGGCCCCCTAGGCAGCTAGAAGCAAGAGAAATGCGGCAGAAGGAGAGATCAGAGAGATTCAAAGCATGAGAAGGACTCTTGCTGGTTCGAAGATAGAAGGGGCAATGTGATGTGGGACACAGACCGCCATCAGGGGCTGAGAGAGGTTCCTGGCTGATAGCCAGTAAGGAAGTGAGACTTAACCTTAGAACCACAAGGAACTAGGTTCCACCAAGAACCTGAATAAGCTTGGAAGCAGATTTTCCTTCAGAGCCTCTTTTTTTCTTTTAAGATTTTATTTATTTATCAGAGAGAGAGAGAGAGTACGTGCACAAGCATGGGGGAGGGGCAGGCAGAGGCAGAGGGAGAGGGAGAAGTAGGCTCCCCGCGGAGCAAGGAGCCCAGTGCAGGACTCGATCCCAGGACCCTGGGATCATGACCTGAGCCGAAGGCAGATGCTTAACCGCCTGAGCCACCCAGGGTTCCCCCTTCAGAGTCTCTTGATAAGAAGCCAGGGTGGCCAGCTCCTTCATTTTGTCCTTGAAAGACCCGGAGAAGAGGAACTAGCCAAGCTCATCTGGACTTCTGGTTCACAGAACTGTGAGATAATAAATTTGTGTTGTTTTAAGCTGCTAAGTTTGAGGCAATTTGTTATGGCAGCAACAGAAAACTGATGCAACAAAATGGACCCAAATTATATGCATGTGAATGTTTTGAATAGACTCAAAGACATACTCAGGGCATTAACTGGAGCTGAAATTAGACACGTATTTTCTAACATTAGTGAATGAAGAAATAAACCCAGAACAAAGTATATTTCAAATGGCACCAGAATAAAACTTATCTGAAGTCACATTCAAGTGTTAGCATCTGCATGTATGAGAGTCATTCATCCTATAGAGATATAATGGTACCTGCCTTATAATTGTGTGAGTGGGTAACATCTTTCTCCCTTGGTTGAAGGCAGGCTTCTCTAGGGCAGGAGTCATCTCTGACTTGTTTCTAATTTCTCCCAGTTATTTTTTTTTTAATTTATTTATTTCACAGAGAGAGAGAGAGCGAGAGAGGGAACACAAGCAGGGGGAGTGTGAGAGGGAGAAGCAGGCTTCCTGCGGAGCAGGGAGCCTGATGTGGGACTCAATCCCAGGACACTGGGATTATGACCTGAGCCGAAGGCAGACGCTTAATGACTGAGTCACCCAGGCGCCCCTCTCCCAGTGTTTTTAGCATGTTAGTAGGCATGCCTTCTATCTGCCAGGCGCCTAGGATACATTAGTGCCCTAAACAGATCTTTGCCCTTATATAAATGTAATGAATAGGTAAGTTGCATAGCATGTTAGAAGGTTAGAAGATGTAAGTGCTCTGGAAAAAAGAGAAAGTAATGCAGGTTGCGGGGGGATTGGGAGTTCCAGGGATTGAGGGATAGGTTGCCTGTATTAAATAGCTGAGATGTGAGCAAAGATTTGATGGAGGTGAGGGAGTGGATCTCTGGGAGGGGAGAGGACCAGATAGAGGAAAGAGCTAGAGCAAAGGTGCTAAGGGGAATGGGTCTGGCATATTCCGGGAACAGCAAAGAGGCTAGTGTGGCTGGAGCAGAGTGAGCAACAGAAGAATAGGAGAGGTCAGAAACGTAATGTGTGTGTGTGTGTGTGTGTGTGTGTGTATGGTAATGTTTTACAATTTTAGATTTTATTTTATATTATTTATTTATTTTTAAAAAGATTTTTATTTATTTATTTGAGAGAGAGTGAGCACAGAGTGCAAGTGGGAGAGGGGAGCAGAGGGAGAAGCAGACTCCACACTGAGCAGACAGCCCGATGCGGGGCTTGATCCCAGGACCCCAAGATCGTCACCTAAGCCGAAGGCAGCCACTTAACCGACTGAGCCACCTAGTTGGTTATTTTATTTTAGATTGGTTTTAGATATAGTTGCAAAGATAGCCCAGAAAATTCTCGTAGCCCCTCACCCAGTTTCCCCTAATGTTAGCACCTTACATTACTGTGGTTCATTTATTGCATCTAAGAAGCCAACATTGGTGTAGTGTTATTAACTAAACTGTAGACATTAATCAGGTTTCATTAGTTTTTCCCTAAGGCCCTTTTTCTTTTCCAGGATCCCATCCAGGATGCCATATTACATTTAGTTGTCGTATCTTTTTTTTTTTTTTTAAAATTTTTTATTTATTTATTTGAGAGAGAGAGAGAATGAGAGATAGAGAGCACGAGAGGGAAGAGCGTCAGAGGGAGAAGCAGACTCCCTGCTGAGCAGGGAGCCCAATGTGGGACTCGATCCTGGGACTCCAGGATCATGACCTGAGCCGAAGGCAGTCGCTTAACCAACTGAGCCACCGAGGCGCCCAGTTGTCGTATCTTTTTAGCCTCTTTTCTGTAACAGTTTCTCAGACTTTCCTTGTTTTGGGTGACCTTGACAGTTTTGAGGAGTATTGTTCAGGTATTTTGTGAAAGTCTCTCAATTTGGGGTTTTCTCATGGTCATGGCCCGAGATGATGGATTTTTGGAAAGAAGATGACCAAAGTGAAGTACCATTCTCATCATTCTATCAAGGCTACGTATTATCAAGAGGACTTACCACTGATGATGTTTATCTTGATTACCTGGCTGAGGGAGTGTTTGTCAGGGTTTTCCACTTTCCCTCCTTTCCATATTCTACTCTTTGGAAGCAAGTCACTAAGGGAAGTCCAGACTCAAGGCCCAGAGGGCTGGGGACAGGGGGATTTAAGTTCCACCTCCTGGAGGAGGTAATATCTCCATGCATTATTTGGAATTCTCTTGTAAGAAAGATTTGTCTCTTCTCCATTAAAAAATTCAGTCATTTATTTCTGTCTCTGTGGACTTGCAGGCACTTATTTTATACTTTGAGTTATAACCCAATACTATTTTATTTATTTTTGTGGCCCAAAGTGCTCCAGCTTTCACCATTGGGAACGCTTTGAGGTTGGCTTCTGCATCCCTCTGAAAAGCTCCTGTGTCCTTTTGTTTTTTGAGTGCTTCCTTCTTTTCTGTCACTACAAGATGTTCCAGGTTTGTCCTGTATGTTCCCTGCCTGGGCCCTAGAATTGGCCAAGCAACTCTGCTTCTTTCATAGGAGGCTGGCATTCAAAGTCCAGATCTGGGTGCTGGGTCTGCTTGTTGCTATGGGGGTTTCAGTGCTTCTAAGTCCCCTCAGCAGACAGCGCTGGGAAATACATGCATGAATGCTAATACATGTATACACACACACATTTATTTCTTGATCCATCCATCTGTATCCATATGAAGCTAAACCTGAGTTCACATGAGTTGTCTGATGTCTCAAACCGAAGCCAGTTCCCCTGGTTCACTTTGGCCTTCTCCCCCTTGATATCTCTAACTTCCCACTCCAACAGTGGGAAACCTGTCTCCTAGCATCCACCATCCATTTACTGAGTTATGCATCCCAGTAGACATGTACAACACTTTCAGAATCATTACGCTATCCCCCTATGAGAAACAACTGTACTAGCTAGAGTACGTTGTTTATGCATAGATCCTTTTGTGTTTGGTCTTAGAGTTTCTAGTCAAAACACCGTTTTCCAAGTTCCTTAGGTCAGCTCCTCCCCTTACTCCCACCTGACTTATGTTTTAACAAGATCACTCTGGCTGTTGTTAGAAAAACAGACTTTTGTAAGGGTTTGGGTGGAAGTATGGAGAGGAGCGTCAGGGGGCTATTGTGGTTGAGCAACAATGTGCCTCAGACCACAGTTGTAGCACAGGTGGTAAGAAATGGCTGCTTCCAGATATATTTTAAAGGTGGAGCCAATGAGACTTCCCAATGGACTGATAGGTAGGCTGAGTCAGAAGAGTCAAGGATGTCTCCAAGATTTTTTTCCAGAACAGTGAAAGGAGATGGCGAAGGCTGTGGGTAGAGCATGTTTTAAAAGTAAGAGGCTGGGCGCCTGGGTGGCTCAGTTGGTTGAGCAACTGCCTTCGGCTTGGGTCGTGATCCTGGAGTCCCAGGATCGAGTCCCGCATTGGGCTCCCTGCTCAGTGGGGAGTCTGCTTCTCCCTCTGACCCTCCCCCCCTCATGTGCTCTCTCTCTCTCATTCTCGCTCTCTCAAATAAATAAATAAATAAATAAAATCTTAAAAAAAAAAATAAAAGTAAGAGGCTGAGGGGAAGGAAGAATGGGGAGCTACTGTTTGGTGGGTGTGGAGGTTCAGTTTGGGAAGATGAAAATGTCTGGAGGTGGGTGTGGTGATGGCTATAGAACATGTGAATATATTTAATGTGCTGACCTGTACATATACCCTGGAAAATGATTAAAATTGTAGTTTTTATGTTATATATATTTTACCACAATAAAAATGAGAGTATGAGGAACTCATCAGGAGTTCAGTTTTAGAAATGTTCATTCTGAGGTGTCTATTAGACATACAATGGGAGGTGCTGGGGAAGCAATCAGATATGAGCCTGGAGCTGGAGAAGAGAGGTGTGGGCTGGACATACACATTTAAGAATTGTCAGCATACACTGTTTAAAACCTGTTCCTTCCTACAGAAACCACAGGAAAGGCTCTTGCCTGCTTCCCCCGACCCTTTGCATCCTGACTGACTCCGGTGCTGCCCTGTGGGGCCCTTCCTGCTGTGCTGTGCCTCTAATTTCTAGGGATCTATAGTATAAGATACTTCTTCCTCTTTGACAGTCATTTCTGTGTCTGTATGTCTGATAATACCTGATTAAAATAGATCCTGGGTGGGGGGGGGGTGCCTGGATAGCTCAGTTGGTTGAGCGTCCAGCTCTTGGTTTTGGTTCAGGTCACGATCTCAGGGTCATGGGATCAAGCCCCGCCTCAGGCTCTGCGCTCAGCATGGAGTCTGATTGAGATTCTCTCCCTCTACTCCCCGCCCCCTTGCGTGCTCTCTCTCTCTCTCTCTCTAATAAAATAAGTAAAATCTTAAAAAAAATTAGATCCTGGGAACCCTTAATACAAGCACCAATGTATATGAATGTACATTAGGAAACTTAAAGTTTAAAAGGCTATAAACCGTCATTATTAAGGCATTTAGCTCAGTTTAACAATGAAAAATGTAATTCTGATCTTGATAATCTTTTGTGTTTTTCAAGCCAGCTTTCCCAGCAATAAAGGTGATTTTTTGATTTCTGTTTTGTTTTCAGTTGGTTCCAAACTTGGAGCCTTAGCCTTCCCAGAACACAAACACAGCCATGCTTGACTTTTTCTTTCTTTCTTTCTTTTTCTTCCTTCCTTCCTTCCGTTCGTTCTTTTTTTCTTTCTTTCTTTTTCTTTCTTTCTTTCTTTCTTTCTTTCTTTCTTTCTTTCTTTCTTTCTTTTTCTTTCTTTCTTTCTTTCTTTCCTTCCTTCCTTCCTTCCCTCCCTCCCTCCCTCCCTTCCTCCCTTCCCTTTCTTTTTTCTCTTCTTTTCTTTCTTTCCTTTTCTTTTTCCCAGGGAGTCATGCTTTCCCTTTCCTTTGGGCCTTTGCAGATTTCTCTTTCTGCCCAGAACACTTCCTTTGCACTGTGTGCCTCCTACTTATTATCCCGCCTTCTCTGGGACTCCCCTCTTATCTTTCCAAGACCAAGTCAGGAGACTTTCTTTTATGCTCCCAAAACACTTTATACTTCCCCATCATAATTTGTGTCATATTGTGATTTAAATGTTTCAGTCAAAAATGCATGGTTTAATGGTCTGACTTCCCTGAAGGACTTCCTATCAGGGCAGTGACCATGTCTGACTCGTTACTTGTTATGTTTCCCATGCTTAGTATACTGTGGGCTTTACATGAATATTTCCTGTTTGGACTAATAAACTATAGCCAGTATAGCTGTTTATACTCTGCTCCATTACTTGATTTCTATTTGACTTTGCATTTGTTTTCTGTATACTCACAAGTTCTTATTTGAATAAAAATATTTGTCCAGGACTGTCCAAATTCTAGGAAGATGTCTGTTTGAAAGTAATCCCCCTTCCTTCCCACAAATTAGACATTGAATTAGAAATTTTGCTCTCAAAAAGCAGAGTACTACAGACAACTCTTGAAATTGCAGATCTCTCTTAGAGAAGAAAATGATCAGATTTATCAAGGGGCCTTAGTTTGTGCTTTCATTTGAGGGCTTATTGTCATTACCTTGCATTTGTGAAGGCTTCAGCTTCTTTTCTTTGTTTTGGCAGGGGAGAGATCCTGGTAAATCTTTATCCCTGACAAAAGACATGAAAAGATTTAAATACATATATGAAACCAGCAAATATTAGTTCCATTCATCAGTTTTTGCTGACTGGAATGACTATAAGCATCACAATATATCCAGAGTCTCACCTCCTAAGGGACCTGTTACTGTCACTCACCAATAGTTACAGGATGGACAGTGAGAAAATGCTGGCCGCTGAGGTCCACATCTGGCCTATACCTGCCCATCACCCTCACACCCTTAAAAAAATCTGATTTTCTCCATTTTACAAAAGAGGAAACTGAGGCTCAGAGGTATTAAATAACTTGTCCCAAATTGCACAGATAATAGGTGAAAGTCATGGGATTCAAATTCAGGTTTATCTGACTCCAATGCTCAAGGATATAAGCCCTACACTATTCTTATTGCTAGAAATAGAAGTTGTTTCAAATTTTTAAGCGGTATAAATAATCTTATGGTGAATATCCTTATACTGAAAGCTTTCTAACCATAGTTATCTTAAGGCTTTAACTGCCAAACTGTATTTTTACCAGCATATTAGATAGAGGTAGATATAACTGCATCTACATCTCTACCTTATACATCATCTGTTTGTGTATCAACTATATCTCTATTTATCTATTTATCAATATCTATCTATCTATCTATCTATCTATCTATCTATCTATCTATCATCTATCTATCTATCAAATTGTCTGAGACAGAGAGCGCTTCTGGAAAGTCTGGAACCCTGGGTGACTTTTCATTTTCTCAGATAAATAAAATCTGGAAAAAGGGAAAACATATTAACACTTTGGGGATATTTTATATAGATCTGCAGGAGGTTATTAGTTTAGGAACATAAAAATATATTATGCAAAACTGGGTTTGCTTATAATATGGTCATTTAAAAGTAGACTTAAATAATCATGATTTTATAAGTTAATTTTATTTAAAATATATTCAGCTTTGAAACTAAACTAAAAGTTTTAATATGGAATCTCTTGGTTTTTGTTTTTACAATAAGCAGTTAAAAAAGTGAAACGGGAAGAAATATTAAACACGCTAAATTTAAAAAGTTATGGTTTATGAATTTAGCATCCTCTATAGTATCTAGTAGGTTCAACTCATTTTCAAAGATGGACCTAATAAAAATGAAGGTGATAAGGTCTCAAAATGCACCATTCCTTTTTTGACATGGAATTTTACCTAATTAGTCTTATTTTCTCTGCTTTTACTAACACTGATTTCTTCTTCTGGTGTTTCTGTTCTATCACCTATTTGAACTTCTGAAAACTCAAGTTGGCCCTTATGCATATATGTTATTTTATATTTGTTGTATTTCTAAATATAAACGAATTTCTTTTGCATGACATAAAAGATGCAGTAGATGGAGAAATATGGAGTTCTCAAGAAGCAAGAGGAAAGTAGAAGGTCAGGCAGTATGAAGTCTTTACTAGCTACATTAAAAAAAGAATACTCTTGGCAGAATTTCAAACCTTATCTTGGCTCACACATGGGAAACAGTCTTTTTAAATTATAACGTTTCAAAGGTTTGAAGTACCTTAGATTTGGAATGAGCTCAATCTGGCCTCTCATCTCATGTAGGAATTCCCTCCATGTGTGGTCTTGCCAAGTCTTTGCTTGACTACTTTCAGTGACAAGGATGTCACTAGTTCCAGAGACAGCTTGTAATGCAGGGTAAGGGAACCATGAGATCAAGGGATTTGGCAGTTGTAAGGCTGTCTTACCCACATGCTTCTAAAAAGGTCAGTAATCTATTCTTGTAGCAGCAGTATAGTCAAGGGCACTAGGGGAAATACTCTCAAAGTGGCACAGAAAATGGATGGTTTGAGAGAGAAGAGAGGCTTTTCTTCTTACACTGATAAAATATAGATCAGGTTCTTACTTGCAGTCATTACTGGCTGTGGTTTATTGGAATTTGTAATTATCAGACTGAGAAAAAAAGCTATTGTTAATGTCACAGGCAAATCTCCCTTCCCAATTTTAGCTCAAGGTTAGTCATGACTAATTTCCCCAGATTTCATTTTACTGGCCATATTTGAGCTATAGACTCTTTATACTGATGTGCTTAGGGGATTAGGTCTTCTTTCTGATCCTCTAACATTATTCTCCTTTAAACTGGCACTCAAAATATCTTAATGTATTACTGACAACTTCTTAAGCCCTCTAGGGTATTCTGACCCCCCACACAAAAATTCCCTCTCATTTGGGGGAACAGGAAAGAGAACTTTTTGTTTCGCCAATCTAAATATATATTTTTTCTTTTCATAAAAACCTTTATCTTCAATTCATTCATTTGGTTTTATAATTAAATTTATCACAAGGTACTTGAAGAGCCTTCTAACTTGTTTCCTCATAACCTTTATGGTTATTTATAATATTTATCACCTTAATAATTCTTCACCTTAATCTATTCAGGGCGCCTGGGTGGCTCAGTTGGTTGGGTGTCCAGCTCTTGATTTCGGCTCAGGTCATGATCTCAGGGTCATGAGATCAAGCACCGAGTCAGGCTTTGTGCTTGGAGCAGAGTTGGCTTGAAATTCTCTCTTTCCTCTCCCTCTGCCCCTCCCCCTGCTCATGCATGCACGTGCTCTCTCTCTCTCTAAATAAGTAAAAGATTTTATTTATTTGTTAGAGAGAGAGAGAGAGAGAGTGAGCACAAGCAAGGGGAGCGGCAGGCAGAGGGAGAAGCAGGCAGAGGGAGAAGCAGGCTCCCTGCTGAACAAGGAGCTCAGCGTGGGACTCAATGCCAGGACCTTGGGATCATGACCCGAGCTGAAGGCAGACACTTAATTGACTGAGCCACCTAAATAAGTAAATAAGTAAAATCTTAAAAAAAAATAATTCTTTACCTTAATCTATCACCTGAATATATTCATTACTTACCTCTTGCCATGGGAGCTGGGTACTTTTGTTAGAGGATTTAGCTTACATTTTGATTTAATGTCAGAAACTGCCATGGGGCCAATAACTCTGTCTGGAATTCAGAAGATACAAATAGGATCAAATCACAGATTAATTCCTCTATTTTCTTTTGCAACTTTCCTAGCTCAAGACCTAGATTTTGAAGTCCAGGGCCTTGAGGAATGGTAATATGTGCAAATTCAAGTTAGAGGTATGTGCAAAGTTGGAAGGCCATGTGGAAGGACCTCTTCACTGTCCCAAGATCTCTAAGCAAAATGTCTTATCCTTGTCTCCCCCCCCAATAGTGTCATTCTAATCACATATAAAAATAAGTGATACCATATGACATAGATAAAGCATCCCGGAAATATGTGCAAAAAGTTATTTAAATAACTTTAAATAAAGACAAAATTTATTTTTGAAATCAGAACTTTTCATATTATAATTGACAGAGAATAAAATGTTACAGCATTTCTAAAATATTTACCTAATTGTTTATATCTTGGATACCTGCCTGGTAATAAGTATTTTCTAGGATTTCCTTCTGGGAGGTCCATCCCTGCCCTGTCGGTTCTTATGAACCCACTGTATGGGAACCCAAATGTAGGAGCAGAAGTGGGATACAATGCTCTTTCACCACCCTCGACCCTCCTGAATGGACTTTTAACCACTAGAGTCTCCGTGGTCCTGCCTTTCCACTTCAGCAGTTTGGGTGTCAGGACCTATGGACCAGGAGCTGGGTTGGTAAGGCTTCCCCCTTCTATTGGGGCTTTTACCTCTCCAATTACAATTTTCAAAGTGTAGACTGTATTAAAGAATACTGGGTTGCTGATTTAGGAATGATAGACAAATACTATGAAACCAGAAAGAGTCTTTGAATGTGTAATTACAGTTTGGTCCATTTTCCTAGGTCTTCACCTCGGAGCCTGGAAAGCCAGTTGTTTCTAAACAACTCAATTACACGTGTTCAAAATCTGGAAACCTACACAGAGCTGGGAACTCCGGAGAGGCTCAGTAATGTAGGCACTTGAAAGGGGCTGTGAAATCATCCTCATGGCGCAAAATAATCATTACTTTAAAAAAACTACCTTCAATCTTTCCTAGAGATGAGAGATTAAAAAAATAAAAAAAAGGACTCAGCATAGATTCCTACAAAAGCCAGATATTTGCCTACTTTTAAGCCGTGCTACCTACCACTTCTGGGCTTCAATCAGATCAAGAATCCAATAAAGGGTTTGTTCCATCATACAACTATGACCTCATTCACTTCTCAGGCTCAGGCCCAGGTGAGAATGACCTACAAGCTCCTTCCAGGTTTAGAGCAACCATGTTTTCAATGTGGTCTGTTTAGCACCCTTGGGGATGTGTGGGTGTTGGGTGTCAATTACAGAATGAGAATATTTTGACACTGTGGGGATTTCAGGGAAGGGAAGTTTTTTGGTTTTTTTGGTTTTTTTGTTTTAATTCTGTATTACTATAATTCCATGTTAAACATTAGTGAGTTGGAAGTTGTTAATTTTACCTAAATGCCTTAATTGAATGGTGATTAAGAACCATTTCATTAATTGCTTAAGCCCAGGAAGGACAAAAATATCCCAAACTCTCATAGGTTTGTAGACTAAAGTATTATTGGAAAGAGTGATTTAAAAAGAGCAATTACAAAAAGATTATGATTGTTTTAATTAGAAACCTTAATATTCAAGATCTCACATGTCTCATGGCATTGTAAATCATCTAGGACAGGAGTTAGGCATGTCTTTCGTCTTTATCATAGCCAAGCATAGATACCTTTGGCACCCAATGTTTAGCTTGAGACCCCCAAATTATTTCAGGCCTCGCTTAGTAGCTGCAGTTCTAGAGGATTTCTATTCCTGCTCTCAGAGTTTGTTTATTGTGGGCATAATTTGACATTTCCCTAGTCTTTCTGAACTTGGTACATTGCCTCCTATTCCGCTTTGGGATACAAAGGAAAAGAAAGGGATGGTTTAATTTACAAATTAATTAAACAAGTATTTAATAAGGGCCTACTATGTTAGAGCCTACCAAGATTAAAATGGGAATAATGGCAGTTCCTATTGGATGGGATTGTTGAGAAATAAATATTATTATTTTAATTATTATTATTTCAAATTGTGGTAAAAAACAAAAAATTTATGCTTAACCATTTTAAGCATACAGTTTAGTATTTTTTTTTAAAGATTTTATTTATTTATTTGACAGAGAGAGACACAGTGAGAGAGGGAGCACAAGCAGGGGGAGTGGGGGAGGGAGAAGCAGGCTTCCTGCTGAGCAGGGATCCCGATGTGGGGCTCGATCCCAGGACCCTGGGATCATGACCCAAGGCCAAGGCAGACGCTTAACGACGGAGCCACCCAGGTGCCCCTGGTTTAGTATTTTTTTTTAAGTTTTTTTTTTATTGTTATTTATTTGTCAGAGAGAGAGAGAGATCACAAGCAAGCAGAGGGAGAAGCAGGCTCCCTGCTGAGCAGGGAGACTGATGTGGGGCTGATCCTAGGACCCTGGGATCATGACCTGAGCAGAATGCAGATGCTTAACGGACTGAGCCACCCATCTAACCCAATCCATTCATTCCGTAAATATTTTTTTAGTGTCTATTTTGTTCTAGGCCCTGGGATACATCAGGGAATACATCTAGCCAGAAATACTGTTGATTCCATCTTCAAAATATATATGTAATCAAATTACTTTCCACCATCTCCACCTCTACCTGTTGTTCTGGTCGAACTGGTCTCCCTACTTCTGCTCTTGCCTTATCTACTACCTGCCAGGTCTATCCTACACATAGAAGCCAGGATAATCTTTTCAAAACTTAATTCAGATCATGTCTTGTCTCTGCTCAAATTCTCCAGTATTTTCCTGTCACTGAGAGTAAAAATCCAACCTTATTTGTTTGTTTGTTTGTTTTTGTGAGCAGCAAAGTTTATCGAGTGATAGTAAAATCCAACCTTTATAATAGCCTTCAAGGCTTATATGATCTGTTCCTGGCTGCACCTGCATCACCTCATTTGGACATCTTATTGTATAGCCCTGGAATTGTGCATTGCATAGACTATGTGACTGAATGTGATGGTCCCGTCACCTAGTTCTATGACCTTATCTCTTCCTACATTGCCCTTTTTCACTCTGTTCTAGCCAGAATGGCCAATTAGCTTTTTCTCAAATACTGCAAGCATGCTCTTGTATAAAGGCATTTACACTTCCTCTGCCCTCTGCATGGAGTGCTCGTGCCTCAGATTATTTATGGCTCACTCCCTTACCTCTTTATCTTTTTGCTTAAATGTCCTTTATCAGCAAGGCCTTTCTTGATTACCTTCCCTCACTTGCAGAATTCCCTACACCCCTTTTCCTTGCTTTATTTATTTATTCACTTTTTATATTTACATTTTAGGTAGTTAACACACTGTGCAATATTGGTTTCGGGGTAGAATTCAGTGATTCATCACTTACGTACAATACCCAGTGCTCCTTATAACAAGTGCCCTCCTTCATACCCATCACCCATCTAGCCCATCCCCCAACCTCTTCCCTCCGTCAACCCTCAGGTTGTTCTCTACTGTCAAGAGTCTCAGGGCGCTTGGGTGGCTCAGTCTACTGAGCAACACTCTCTTGGTTTCAGCTCGGGTCATGGTCTCGGGGGTGTTAAATCGAGCCCGTCGGGCTCTGCACTCAGCACAGAGTCTGCTTGAGGTTCTTTCCCCTCCTCTCCCATCCCCTTTGTTCCTCCCCCTGCTTGCACTCTCTCTCAAAATAAATAAAATCTTTAAAAAAAGTCTTTTATGGCTTGTTTCCCTCTCTCTTTCCCCCCCTTCCCATATGTTCATCTGTTTTCTGTTTTCTTTCTTAAATTTCACATATGGGTGAAATCATATGGTATTTGTCTTTCTCTGACTGACTTATTTCAAGTAGCATAATAGACTCTAGCTCCATCCACGTTGTTACAAATGGCAAGATTTCATTTTTTTGATGGCTGAGTAATATTCCATTGTATATATATACCACATCTTCTTTATCCATTCATCAGTTGATAGACATTTGGGCTCTCTCCAGAATTTGGCTATTGGTGATAATGCGCTATAAACATTAGGGTGCATGCACCCCTTCAAATCACTATGTTTGTATCCTTTGGATAAATACCTAGTAGGGCAATTGCTGGATCATAGGGTAGTTCTAATTTTAACTTTTGAGGAAGCTCCATACTGTTCTCCAGAGTGGCTGCACCAGTTTGCCTTCCCAGCAGCAATGCAAGAGGGTTCCCCTTTTTCCACATCCTTGCCAACACCATTCTGACAGGTGTGAGGTGGTATCTCATTGTGGTTTTGATTTGTATTTCCCTGATGATGAACGATGTTGAGCATCTTTTCGTGTGTCTGTTAGCCATCTGGATGTCTTCTTTGGAAAAGTATCTTTGCTTTATTTTAATCTCTGTAATCTCTATCATACTATTATCTTATTCTTTTTGTTGCATATATCTCTTCACTAGAGTGTAAGTTCCATGAGGGTAAGGATTTTTGTCCTAAACATGTAGAATAAGGCTTGGCACATGGTAAACACTAACTGATTGTTTAAATGAATGCATATATGCATCCATTCATCCCTTCAGCAGATACCCTACTATCTGCTCAGAACAGAGAATAAAGACTTAAAAGATGGCATGCCTACTCAAAAGTAGCTGACAGGGAAATAGGACAAGTTCATCCAAATTCAGGTTCCCATGATCTGTGAGTGAATAGTGGTGACAGAAGGCATCAAAATTAATAGGGTGGTATATGTAAGAAACTTAAATATCCCAGGGAGTAGGCATGTATTATAATTTAACTACATCAATAGTCATCTAACCAGAACCAAATGGGATAAAGGGCTGATTTCACTTAATTTACTTATGGGTGTATCCTAGGTAGTTTAAAACTGGTGGACTGGTGTGATATTTATCTGTGGGGCTGATACTACTAGGACATAAGCTGGGTTCCACAGATAGATAGGTACACTGGATATATGGAAGGTGCTTTGGGGCTAGGACTTATACTGGGCCCAGCCTATTGTTTATTTTTTCCACCTACAGAGCTTGACAAGTAAACAGGTGCAGATTTGGCATCCTTGTATTTCTTCAGCAGATATATATATATATTTTTTGGTCAGTCCTGTACTTTTAAAAAAAATTAAAATATAATTCACATACCATAAAACTTACTCTTTTAAAAGTGTGAGTGCAGTGGTTTTACTTGTACAACCATCACCACCATCTACTTCCAGAATAGTTTCATCACATAGAAAAGAAGCCCTGTGCCACTAGCAACTACTCCCCATAGTAGCTGCCTACAGGCAACCACTAATCTATCTTTTATCTCTATTGAGTTGCCTATTCTTGACATTTAATATAAACAGAATAATATTATATGTGGCCTTTTGTCTGGCTTTTTTCACTTAGCATGATGTTTTCAAGGTTCATCAGTGTTTTGGCATGTATCCATACTTCATTCATTTTTATGGCTAAACAATATTCCATTGTATGAATAGGCCACATTTTGTGTATCCATCTATCAGTTGATGGACATTTGGATTGTCTTCATTTTTGTACTATTATGGGTCATCTTTCTATGAACATTCTTGTACAAGTTCTTGTGTGGATATATGTTTTCACTTCTCTTGGCTATATCCCATGGAGTAGGATTGCTGGGTCATATGGTAACCATGTTTCACATTTTGGGGACTGCCAAACTGTTTTCCACAGCAGCTGCACCATTCTACATTCTCACCAGCAATATATGAAGACTCCCAATTTTTCCATGCCCTCAACAACATTTGTTATTGTCTTTTTTTTATTATAGTCATCCAAGTGGGTGTGAAGTGGTAGCTTGCATTTTGATTTGCATTTCTTTAATGACTAATGATGTTGAACATCTTTTCATGTGCTTATTAGTCATTTTTATATCTACTTTTGAGAAATGTCTATTTAGGTCTTTTGACCATTTTAAAAGTTGGGTTATTTGTCTTTTTATTGTTGAGTTACAAGGGTTCTTTATATGTTTTGGATACTAGATCCTTATCAGATACAAAATTTACAAATATTTCTCCTGTTCTGTGGGATGTCTTTTCATTTTCTTGATAGTGTCTTTTCAACCACAAAGTTAGAATTTTGCAGATGAAAAAGAACTAACAGATCATTAATCTAATTCACCTTTTTCATTTTATTGATAAGGACACTAAAGCACA